GCCAACAGCTTCAGAGGGCACCTACACTGAACACTGTCCCAACATTTTCCACAGGAGTTCGTCCTGGACGATATCTCGCTGCTGAGGGTGACCTGGGAAGCAAGGGAGGGTCTTCTACTGCAATGCGGCTTCCGCCCTGGCCCATATGCAGCTTGCCTGTGTGCAGCAATGGTCCCCCCGCCCCTCGCGGCACAGTGGTGCGGACACGTTAGCCTGGCTGGGACAAGGACCACGGTGGCTCTCCCGATAAACCTGCGCAAGCGCATTGCACACGTTCTGGATGAGACATTCGAGGAGATTACCGAGGCCCATTACCGCGCTGTGATAAACCACATCAATGCACTATTCTGCATCTAGGCATGCATGCCTAACCCTCCTCTCCCAAAGAGCTCGCACCGAAAAAATTCCTTCCCGAAAAAAGAAACGCTTACTGGGAACCTGCTCTTCTGTTTGTCCTCCACCAAGTACCAGCCGCTGCGACTGGCTACCTTCCTCCTGGCTCGAGAAGAGCTCCTGGCTGCATGGCTCCAGGGATTCCGGGGTGTCTCCATCCGGCCCACCACCATCACTCCCGTTTTCGTCCTCCTCCTCCTCCCACCCCGGCTCTGAAGTGTCCATGGTGGTGCTCGGAGTGGAGGTGGGGTTAACCCCAAGTATCCCATCCAGCTCTTTGTAGAATCGGCAGGTCGCAGGGGGAGCACCCAAGCGGCCGTTTGCGTCGCGGGCTTTGCGGTAGGCACTCCGCAGCTCCTTCACTTTAATCCTGCACTGCAGGGCGTCCCGGTCATGGCCCCTTTCCATCATGTCCTTTGATACCTTCCCGAAGGTATCGTAATTCCTACGGCTGGAGCGCAGCTGGGACTGGACAGCTTCCTCCCGCCAAACACTGATGAGGTCCAGCAACTCGCCATTGCTCCATGCTGGGGCTCGCTTGGCGCGTGGAGGCCTAGTCACCTGGAAACATTCGCTGATAGCACTCCACGCCATGCCGGGCTGAGCAAACAGGAAGGGGATTTTTAAAATTCCCGGGGAATGTAAAGGGTGGGTCACGTGGTTGGTTACCTGAGGCCAGGGCAGTAGAGTTTGAGCTGATGACCAGAGTGGCTAGAACAGGCATTGTGGGCTACTGCCGAATAATTGTGGAGGCCATTCACAGCGCATGGGGCAGCCACACTGGCGCCGCAGCGGCAGCGCAATACTTGCTATTCCTCTCGGGGAGGTGGAGTACATGCAGCGCTGCAACCACGGAGATCCAGCGCTGCAAATGCCTTGCCAGTGTGGACGGGGAGTGAGTTACAGCGCTGGGGGCGGCTTTGCAGCGCCGCAACTCGCAGGTGTAGCCAAGGCCTTTGAGCAGGGGGTGGGACTAGATGACTCCTGAGGTCCCTTCCAGCTCTGATAGTCTGATTCACAGAAAGGCTGAGACGGGGCCGCTCCTGGCAACTCCTTCCTTCGCCAGGGAAGTGTCACCACTTTAGCCCAGCCCCGGATCTCCTCCTCCGGAGCCGGCGGGTGACTCACGGGGCTGGGGCGAGACTGTGGGCGGGATGTGTTGGGCGAAGGCTGTAAACACAGCACTGATCTCACCGCGGGGCCAGGGACGGGCGATCTCCTTCCCACGCGAGACCTCCCTCCTCCGCCGCTCCACCCCCGCAAGGGAGCCGGCGGGGGCAGCGAGGCGGGTCCGCCCCGGCCCCGGAGGAGCTGGGACCGAGGCCGAGAGGAAGACCAGCTGCCCTTGGACGGGTAGGCGGTGCTCCTTCCCCGGGGAGGAACTGAAGCCAGGGTGGCCCTTAGCCACGCAATGCCCCCCTGGGGAGATGCATCGACCCCCTCGCCGCTCATGCAGGGGTGGAATAAATGCATGATTGGGGGGAGCCTGGTTCTCCAGCCCTGCAGGGAGACGCCGGCCGGCAAGCGCAGGGGCTCTGCCCTGCGGAGAGAAAAGCTGCTCCGGGTTTTGCTCGGTCCGCCGGGCGCTAATGCAGCCCAGCAGCGCCTGCTTTCCCTGCTCCGGCGGGCGGCCGGGCTGGGGCCAGCTGGGCTGGGGAGATCCGCCCCCTCTGATCGGCTTCTCTGACCCCCACGGCGGCCCTAGGGGGCGAGGCAGGGGGGCCGCCCAGCAGCTGTGAACGCTGCACAGCCCGGAACAGACATTGGCTCCTCTCTGGGGTCATGTGGGGGGGTTTAATGTCACTCCGGAGCAAATGCACATCAACCAGCCGGAGCCCTTCCGAGAACAGGCCATTCACTCTTTCGGCTCTGCAGGAAAGTAACAAGTAGACGGTATTGCCAATCCCAAGAGTTCAAAAGTCATGAGTCAGCCCCTCCTCTCCCTCCCCCCCCAAATAATGAGATTATATAAAAAAAATATACTTGTTGTTTTTTTCCCTTTGCTTTCTGGTTTCTGAGTCTCTAGGGGGCACCTAGATAAAGCTTTCAAGCTTTTCTGTGCAATCATGGGAAGGGTGTAGAAATGTTTTGAATGAAAACTGAGATTTTTCACATGACTCCAGGAACTGGGGCTTTAAGAAAGCCACCACTCATGATAAAATCACAACAGTTGTGTATAGGGGAGGAGTGATGATGAGTAGTTTAGTACTTAGGCAAGTGCTGGAATAATGAGAAAGTTTATTAAATCTGAGATAAAAGTAGGATTGCTGAGGGTGAGCTGTCAGAGATAATAAAGAAGACATATGCAGGAAACACGGAAAGCAAGAAGGTGTCTCCCAGGCAGGAAGCAGGAGCGCATTGCTGGGCAGTCAGTAATGGGGTGAGAGGCAGGGCATAAGCAGGTGGGATATCTGACAAGAGAGCATGGCTGCTGCAGTATTGTCACCGTCAAGCATAAAACAATCATGAGTGGCTTAAAAATTACAAGATTTTTTTAAAATGTGTATATGTATTTTGGGATCTTTCTCTGGCTTCTAGTTTTTGAACTTTTAAGACTAGACATTTCCCTTTTTGTTCACGTGAAAGCTGAATTTCTCACAAAATAACAACATGACTCCAGGAGCTGGAGCATCAAGAAAAGAATCAAATATCACAAGACTCACGATAAAATCACGAGAATTTGCAATTCTGCTGCTGTAATCTCAAAGGGGAATAACCTGCAATTTTAATGACTTTAGCCTCTCATCTTAAAGTCCACCACTTTGTTGTTGAGAAAGTTGAAAAGAGTCAAATAAAAACTTACAGCTGGTAATTTTATTTGTGTAGCAGTACAGTGGCTGGATACAGAGCATACTCCAAGCAGAATTGAGAAATAATATTGCAGAGATGTCTGTGTGGTTTTGTGCTTTACATTTCAGTATACTTCCCATGCATTCATTCTCTTGCATCATAATTTGCACAGAAGCATAATTAAATGAAAAGGTCCCATGTCAATATGCAACACACGTACATTAATGTATGGTTAGTGTGATCATCACAATAAAATCCTTATACCAAACTGCCATCTCTTATATTAGCAGCTGCAGCTAATAATTGCTGTGGTCAAAATCACAAATTAGTTTTCATTATAACTCCTTGTTTTGCCATACACTGGATAATTCAACTTTTGGGTTAAATTTGTCATGCTTGGCCTTTGTCCCCAAAACGAGGGTTCCCCCCCCCAAGTTTGAGCTAAATCCCTCCGTCTGTTTGAATATCAGTGTAGAAAATTGTTATTTTTAAATAATGCATTATATAAAGTTAATCGTGTTTAGAGCTGGTAATGAGGAAAAGAATCACATTTTTTGAAATGTTTCACTTTTTTTCCAGAATTTTGAAATTTGGAATTCACAAAAAAATTTCAACCAGCTTCTATGTTTGGTCGAAAAATGGAGTGGGTGGGGAAGGAAATTGGCCAAAGTTTGTCTAAACTTCCTTTTTTGTGTTTAAGAAAATAAGAATGGCCATATTGGGTCAGACCAACAGTATCTAGCCCAGTGTCCCGTCTTCCAATAGCGGCCAGTGCCAGGTGCCCCAGAGGGAATGAACAGAACAGGGCAATTTATCCAATGATCCCTCCCCTGCCATCCAATCCCAGCTTCTGGAAGTCAGAGGCTTCACCCAGATCATGGGTTTGCATCCCTGACCATCTTGGCTAATAGCCATTGATGGGCCTATCCTCCATGAACTTATCTAATTGTTTTTGGAACCCAGATATACTTTTGGCCTTTACAGCATCCCCAAGCTCTGCGTTGTGTGGAGCAGTATTTCCTTTTGTTTGTTTTAAACCTGCTGCCTATTAATGAGGCGACCCCTGGGTCTTCTGTTACACGAAGAGGTACATAACACTATTTCTCCACACCATTCCTGATTTTATAGACCTCTCTCATGTCCCCCTTTAGTCATCTCTTTTCCAAGCTGAACAGCCCCAGTCTTTTTAACCTCTCCTCGTATGGAAGCTCTTCCATCCCCTTAATAATTTTTGTTGACCTTTTCTGTACCTTTTCCAATTCCAATATATCTTTTTTGAGATGGGGTGACCAGAACTGCAAGCAGTGTTCCAGGTGTGGGCGTACCATGGATTTATATAGAGGCATTATGATATTTTCTGTCTTATTATCTATCCCTTTCCTAATGGTTCTTAACACTGTTGGATTTTTTGACTGCTGCTGCAAATTGAGCAGAAGTTTTCAGAGAACTATCCACAATGTCTCCCAAGATCTCTTTCTTGAGTGGTAGCAGCTAATTTAGAATCCATCATTTTATATGTATAGTTGTGATTATGTTTTCCAATGTACTTTCCATTTATCAACACTGAATTTCATCTGCTATTTTGTTTCCCAGTCACCCAGTTTTGTGAGATCCCTTTGTAACTCTTTGCAGTCTGCTTTGGACTTAACTATCTTGAGTAATTTTGTATCGTCTGCAAACTTTGCCACCTCGATGTTTGTTTTACAAATGTCAAAATTATGGTGAAATCTTCAAAATGTAAGAAAAAATTCGGACCCACTGTAATAGCATTATATCAAACTAGGGTTGGGTTGATGTGTTTCCTTTTTCTGCAACAGGGAGTCTAGGGAATTATTTGCAGTCTGGAAGGTGGTTCTCAGTGCTGCTGCCTGTCGGGTCAGAAAGATGCCTGCTCCAACATCAGAATTTTGGAACTACGTCCCGGAAGAAATCCTTGTCCATATATTTTACTACCTGTCTCTCCAAGACAGATACACAGCCTTCCAAGTGTGCAAACATTGGGCTGCAGCTGTTTCCACTAGCTCCGTGTGGCATTTCACAGAGATCAGGTGAGAGGAGGTAGTTTCTACTGTTTGTAGGTATCTGTGCAGTCAAGCATACAGCATCTCGTATAAATCTTGCAGTACAACTTGTTTATCTTAAAGCACCACTGTTCTTCATTCAAAAATCGCATTGCTGATGACAGCCTATAGATGTGAATACTTATAAACCATTGGAACAACTTACCAAGAGTGGTGGTGGAATCTCCAGCACTAGTAATTTTAAAACCAAGATTGGATGTTTTTCTAAAAGATCTGTTCTAGTTCAATTAGGAATTAATACAGGGAAGCCCTGTGGCCTGTGTTATACAGGTCAGACTAGATCAGTGGTTCTCAACCAGGGGTATGCAGAGGTCTTCCAGGGTGTGCATCAACTCATCTAGATATTTGCCTAGTTTTACAACAGGCTACATAAAAAGCACTCGCAAAGTCAATACAAAGTAAAATTTCATATGGACAAAGACTTGTTTACAGAGGTGGTGGAACTAGTGGTACTAGGGGTGCTGCCACACTCCCTCACTTGAAGTGGTTTCCATTGTATACGGGATTTACAGTTTGGTTTAATGGCTCTCAGCTCCCACACTGTACATATTGTTCCAGCGCCCCTGCTTGTTTATACTGCTCTATATACTACACGTTGAAATGTAAGTACAATATTTATATTCCAGTTGATTTATTTTATAATTATGGTAAAAGTGAGAGAGTCAGCAGTTTTTCAGTAACAGTGTGGTGGTGACACTTGTATTTTTATGTCTGACTTTGTAAGTAAGTAGTTTTGAAGTGAGGTGAAACTTGGGGGTACTTAAGACAAATCAGACTCCTGAAAGGGGTCCAGTCATCTGGACAGGTTGAGAGCCACTGGACTAGATGATCACAATGGTCCCTTCAGGCTTTATAATCTATGCAACTATGTAAGTAACAGTACCTCGTACAAGTAGCGGCTGTGTATGTGGTAGAGAAAATAGGGTTGGACGGGTGTTGTTTTTTAAAGTACGCACTAAGAATCATAAGTCAAGGAAAGGGATAAGTCGTGGCATTAGATGTGCTTTGAAAAGTGTCAAGGAGATACCATCATCATAATCCTCACCTAGCTTTGATATAGCGCTTTTCGTCCACCGATCTCATGGTGTTTACAAAGGCGCCCACTGTCGTTATCCCCATTTTAAAGAGTGGGAAACAGAAGCCCAGAAAGGGGAAAAGACTTGCCCCGGGACAGCAGGCAGAGCTGGGACTAGCCCCCAGGTCTCCTGAATTCCACTCCTGTGCTCTATAACACTAGGCTGCATTCGGGTGCAAAGGGAAAGCTTCAGCCAAGGTCACTGGAATGATTATCATGGTGCTGTTGAAGCTGGTGATCTGAGCTCTAGTGTATGAGACTGGAACTCACCTCCTCGGTCTGTACATAGTGACCGAGCCCCGTAACTAACTGTATTGTTATCTATTATTTGTATTACAATAGCACCTAGTGGACCAGCCAGAGATTGGGGCTCCATTGTGCCGTATACGGTATAAACACATAGTGAGAGAGAGTCTGTCCTGAAGATCGTATAACCTAAATAGACCAGACAGATAATGGTTGAGAGGAGAAACAGAGGCATAGAGCATGGAAGTCACTTGTCCAGCATCACGCAGCAAGTCAGTGGCTGGCTTGGGAGTAAAACCCAGGTCCCCTGACTCCCAGCCCAGCACTTGAGCCTCTAAACCAAGTAAGAACAAATCTCTAAGGCAGTGGAGGAGATAAATAATAAGTAAATAATAATAAAGGACAGTGATCCAAAGTATAGACGTTGTGCTCACTTGTTGCAGCTCCAGCAAAACAGCTAACTGTATTTATAATGCTCTTCCAGTTGTGATTCGGAGAACGAGGAGGGCATGCTGCAGAGTTTACACCAGTTCCTGAGCCAGATCAAACACCTGAAGATTGTGTTTGATCAGTCCAAGGAAATAAATCGGAAGAATGTCACCCATATTCTAGATCTGTTGGCCAGGCAGAACCACAAGCTGCAGAAGCTGTGCATCAAGTGCAAAGGGGAGAACCCTTATTTCTACTCTGGCCAGGACATCCTGCAGAGCATACGAAATATATGCCAGAGAGAAAACCAAATAGACCTTCAGCATATTGATTTCCGGAGAATGCCGTTCACCCTGGATGATGGGCTTGTTGGACTCATAGCCACCAGCAGCCCAAACCTGCGCAGCTTGTTCATCAACAACCGCACTCTGGTTTGCAACGTGAAGCCAGAAACCATCAGAGAGGTTCTGAATGTATGTCCTAAGTTGTCTACCTTGGGAGTCTACTATGCCAGCCTGTCTAATGATGTGTTTGCGGAACTGATCAAGCCAGAGAGAGGGGCTTTCACACGCTTAGATATTTTTTGTGAGCGCTTGGACAAATATATTCCAGTCATCTCTGAAGAGCTTTGGGCTGCCGTGATCCAGAAGCATCCTCAACTCTGTGTAGACCTGGAGTTTGATCACACAGTCCCTGCCTGGAAGATACCACGGATCCTAAAGCCCAATATACCCGTAGGTACTTTACAACTGAATACTTTTACGTACATGGTGAACCAGGTTAGGTTTGTCACCAGCAGTTACAGCAGGACCTTAAACAGGCTGGTGATCCACACGACCCCCTCGGACGATTTGAACTCCTCGCTAATAGACCTGGCAAGGAAGTGTGTCAATCTAACAGAGATTCATTGTTACTGTGTGGTTAGTCAGGAAGTGGTAGATACCTTCCTCGTACACTGCCCCCGTCTGAAACGATACACTCTCAAGATTACCAAAGAACATCACCCCTGGAAGCCGACAGTAGTTCAGTGACGTACCTGTTTTGACTAGAAGCAAGTTCGGAAAAAACATGTGGATACAAAGATTCCAAGTGAATGGAGTTTCAGAGATTTTAGGGTAATGCCTCAAAAACCACATCCCATACTACATCATCATCATCATCAGGAATCCCTCAAAGTCGAGGATGATTGTCTTTTCACGGCTTGTCCATTTCAAATTATCTGTGGGTCTGCTGATGGCTGATAAGGCCTATTCTGGAGCCGCAGACTCTGCCACGTTACAGACGTGTTTCCAAGCAGGGCGGGTGAACCTGGGGGATTGGTTCGGGCTATCGCAAACTCTTTCTGTTGCTTCCATGCTACTTACGCACTCACATTCAGACACACACAGGAACGTTCTCTCTCCAACCCCAGCCCGACTGCTGTAGAAACGGAGCATTTAGACTTAAAGACGATCTGCAAAGGGTTTTAAAAGAAAGGGGCTAGTGCTTTTTTTGTTTGTTTGTTTGTTTCTTTATTACATATAAAGAAAGCATGATATTTATGGTTTTTTTCCCCCCCTGGCTTTTTAATTAGCTTAGAAACATCAGGAATGTCATGTTTGCTCTTTCTGGGTATTTCTGGAGGACCGCGGGGATGATGATGATTATTTATTTATTTACCACTTACATTGTGATAGCACCCACAGGACAACCAGGTTGGGGCCTCATAGTGTTAGGTGCTGTAGAACACCTTAAATGAAGGGGTGAGGCTGTTGAATCATTAACAAAGGCTTTATTTATCCAAAATGTTAATTAGTCATTTAAGTTAAATGAGTGCTAGCAAAAATGTACAAAAACCGAAGAGTTTTAAAGGGTGTGACTAAAAACTCATTCCCAATGTTCCCTGTCTTGGCTCTTGTGCCAGCACTTCACTAGTTCTCCATTCAGCAAACCTTCCATCCTAGACAGGGCCTGAATTGCTAATGTAAAATAAAGGCAGGGAAACAACGCTTAAAATAGTAACGCATATGCCTGATTGATCTTCCTGGCTGCGCATTCTTTTCCTTGCGCTGAAATGCAATTTCCAGATGAGGGTTTGAGTATCTCATGCAAAGACCTCAAAGAAAACCATTTCTGATCTAACTGTGCCTTCGTTATCCCACTGGCATCACGTTGGAAAAGCACTAATGCTAATGACATGACACTCATGTTCTCCTCAGTCTTTTCACAAGGGAGCTTTCACCCTTTCAGGAGCGATAGTTACTTCTCACTTCAACAAAATATCCCACAATCCCACTTCTGCGTGAGCTGGTGTGTGTGTGTGTGTGTGTGTGTGTGTGTGTGTGTGTGTTTATCAGTCAAATGTGTCAGAGATCCCTGGTGCATATTGGAGAGAGATTTTTTAAAGCCTCATTTGGTTTGAAATGATCCTGGGCTCTGATTACATTGTCATCAAGTGCCCAGGAAACAACGTGTAGTGGACTGTGTTAACACAACAAATAAAGGGCGAGATTGTGGTGCTTTTACTTACCCGAGTGAGCGACAAGTCGTGTCCGATGGGAGCCGAGGAGAGTACTCGCGTGAGTAAGTGCTCCCCAACATGAATAAGGGCTTCAGAGTCTGGGAGAAATGAATCCAGCTGCTCATAACTAGCAGTGGGTGAGACACCTGGAATAATAATAAAGCAGATTGTGGCACCTGGGGGTTATCTGTTTTCATCATCTATTTTCACCCAATCCAGAGCTGTTTATCCAAAGCTCGTTGAACTCTGGGATTCAGATAACGTGGGACTCGGCTTTGGTTTTGCCCAGCCCGACTAAGGTTTGGCATGCTTAAAACCAGCCTTGATTTTGCCCATCTGGGGCTGCCCATGTTCAGAACAAGGAGCTCCTAACTAGTGTTTAAACTCAGTCCCTTCACAATCCAGTGTCGGTGCTTCCTGGCATCCTGCAAACATGCCAGCCAGGTGTTTTCTTAATTCATTCCAGTGATTTGCTAACCTCCCAGCCTAAGGTGTACAGCGTGTGTTCTCTTTGCATGACGCTGCATGTTTATTCACAGCATTGTGCGATCGGCTGCAGTGCATTTTAATTCTGTGCATTGTTCTCTGGGGCTGGTGATGCCGTTGTATTGTGCTGAGTTTTTAAGAGTGCGAACAGCACGGCTGATGTGACTGAGTGAGGGCCTACTCTCAGCTGGACCTGGATGAAACTAAATGGTTCAGTCTCCGTTACCCACACGCACAGCGAGACAGGCATATTGAAAGAGATGGAGTTAGTGTAACTAAAACATTGAAAAATGATGCAAGATTCACCCAGTTCCCTGGCAATGGATGGATACTCCAGTAATGTGCCAGCATTCCTGACTAAACTGTGGACGCTGGTGGAAGATCCTGAAACAAACCATCTAATTTGCTGGAGCACTGTAAGTAAAAGCTAATACCGGAGGTCACTTAAACTGCACGGGACAGCAGGACAAAAACAAGTCCAGAGCATCTAAAAGATGATACTCTGTAGCATTTATCTAGCACTTTACATTTTCAAAGTACCTTGCCAGCGTTCGCTGAAAAAGAGCGAATGTTCTTTAGAGAGACTTTTATATACACACTGAATATTATGCTTGTTTGTGTTAAAGACAGGCCAAGATTTTCCAGGTGACTAATGATTTTGGGGGGGGGAGGAGAGGGTCCTTGATTTTTTTGGTGTCCAGCTTGACACCTTAAATGGGCCTGATTTTCTGAAAATAAGTGCCAACCCTCTGAAAATCAAGCTCCTTTAAAGGGTCTCAAGTTGGACCCCCAAATCACTAGTCTCTTTTACTAAGCACTTGAACTAGTATGTATGTAGACACGGCGACATGCATATCTATTGGCAGTTTGGCTATTTTTATTTTTAATAGGTTTGTTTGTTTTATTTTTGTGATGTTTCTTACTGTTTATCATTTGGGGCTTTTAAACGCTAAGTGCAATTAAAGGACTAACGTCGTTTGACTCTCTAGCATTTTGAAATCGTATTGTGCACTTGACTTTATTAACAGTTGTTACAAATAGACATGATTTATTTTTCAGCAGAGAATTATCCAATATGTTGTGTTTATACACTCACTTTCCACAAAAGGAACTATAATTAAAGCATACTTTAAAAAAAATATTTTGATGTCAGCCTCTTTGTCATGTTTTTAGCCACGGGAACATTGTTCAGCACAGTTTTCATTCCGAATGCATGGGATGGGATGTAAGCTGCATTTCTATCTCTAAACAGAAAGTTATATTCTGTTCATTAACCACCACATGAATCCTGTGTTATAGGCCCATTTCCTTACTTCATTTTATCATAGGGTTTATACATAATTCACTTTAAAGAAGGGCTTTCATAATGGGGAGAAATTTTTAATCTATAAATAGTCGCTTTTTCTTTACACTTTTTTTTTGTAATTTTCCAGACCCACTTGCATATGGTGCATTATTATTTTTGATCTCCCCCCCTCTCCTTTCTAGCCCACCTATAGTACTGTGACGACAGAGTGCTGAATCCGTGATATCGCAATCATGTCAGTGATTACAGCCTGTAAGAGCATCAAGAGGATTTTAAATAGGGTGTGTTTAATTAAGCATGTGAATGAGTGAAATTGAAATTTTCACCTTTGCATATGTTAGCGAATTCTGGCTTCTGCTAACCTATTAGTAGGTATCAACAGAGAAGTTGCTATGAATCATTTCAGCCTATAGATTATTAGCAAATTGTTCGTTTTGACTACTCATTATTCATGGTACCTGATGTCTCACTGAAGTCACATGGTATTGCTTCTGGTCCTTAACCGGATAGCAGCGGGAATAAGTAATGATGAATAGCGAATACACTTGTCCATACTTGAATACTGTTATATTTTAATAAAGGGAAGCCATTTCCCAAATATTTATCTGTACAAAAAACCATCTATATAAATATTTGCAAATAGAGAATAATAAGGGGATCAAACATGGCTGAGCCGAACCGCCAGTCAGAATTTGATTGCATGTTTCTGAACATGCATTTTCTTTGCAGTCTTGAATCAGCTGTTGTTATGACTTAACTGCAATAGCAAATGGAAGAGGCTGGGTTGAGAGGCCCCATTCAGACTCCGAGATCTGCCACCGCAGCAAAGAAATCATAAGGAAAATGACGAGGGCAGTAGGGTTTGGCAGTGTCCCACCCTTGAGTGACAATATGTAGCATATAAGAAAATAAGGCAGCATCTCTTCAAATCAATTGTGAGCCCTCTAGCGGCACTTACTTGTTCTGTGTTTTAGAAGGTGCCAAAAACCAGCCAGTCCAGCCAGCACTGTGTATGTAGAGAGGCCTTGCATGTCAGTAACAATGGTTATTTGGGACCCAGCCGGGTCCATAGGGTTTCTGCATATTGCTGTGGTGTAAAAATCAAAAGACCCAATCCTGGTTGTTAATAATTCTGTTGAAAATAGGTTTGGCTGAGACAAGGAAGCCCAGGTGATACCATTAATGGTAATACTGAACACCGCAGTGGAAAACTGCAGCCACATCACCATGAAGGACTGTGTGCGTATTGCTTTCACAGCAGAGAATCCCAGTCCACTCCCCGTGTTTTAGCTTCCCCTGTCTTCATTGCATGGATACTATTCGTGGCTTATCAACGGTTGTCTTGAAGCATAATCTAAACAAAGAGCATGGGGGCATGGAGATCTAGGGTTAGATGTAGTATCATAGAAATGTAGGACTGGAAGGGAATCTCAGGAGCTCACCTCACCCAGCCCCCTGCGCTGAGACAGGACCAAGTAAACCTGTTTGTCTAAATAGCGGATCATTTCCCCATCTCTGGTATAGTGCTATGCTTCTGGCCCACCCCCAAAATTGTGTGTGTTCGACCTATATGCGTGGGTCCAGTGTAGAAGCGAGGACAAGAATAATGCAGGGGTGTTCATCAGAATGTGTTCTCCAGCTGGAAAACAGTCCAACGCAGCGTAAAAATGTCCTGCATCCTTCCCTCCACTCAGCATCCACCCTCCTGATAGAACAGGGCGGTAGGGTGTGACAGTCCCCGTTTGGCAAAGACGAGACTGTCCATCCCAGCCCAGTTAGTGGCCCTGCTGATAAGGGCATGCAATCGAAGGTATGACTGCACCGTAATCTAGCTAGCTTGAATAACAATAGCGCTGAAGCTTTGGCAGCACGGGCTATGGAAGACCACCTCTAACACTGGGTATGTACTTGAGTGGCTAGTCCCGGGCACTGTTGCTTCATTGCTATTGTAATCAAGCTCGCTAGTACAAAGATAGTTTGGGCATGGCTACATGTAGTGCTGCCACACCTCTGATTATAGTGTAGACCTACCGTAACTTCACTGAAATGCTCTGGTGGAGGCATTGCACCCTCTTTTCATAGAAATGTAGGGCTGGAAGGGACCATGAGGTCATCTAGGCCAGCCCACTGCGCTGAGGCAGGAGCAAGTAAACCTAGACCATCCCTGACAGGTGTTTGCCCAACCTGTTCTTAAAAACCTCCAGTGATGGGGATTCTGCAACCTCCCTTCGAAGCCTATTCCAGAGCTTAACTACTCAGGTAGTTAGAAAGTTTTTCTTAATATCGAACCTAAATCTCCCTTTCTGCAGATTAAGCCCATTGCGTTTTGTCCTACCTTCAGTGGACATGGTGAACAATTGATCCCCGTCCTCTTTATGACAGACATTAACATAGTTAAAGCCTATCAGATTTTCCCCCCTCCCCCCACCAGTCTTCTCAAGACTAAACATACCCAGTTTTTTTAACCTTTCTTCACAGGTCAGGTTTTCTAAATCTTTTATCATTTTTGTTGCTCTCTACTGTCGCTACTACCGCCCAGCCGGTTAGTCCCCATTTTGTATCTGTGCATTTGATTTTTCTTTCCTAAGTGTAGTACTTTGCACTTGTCTTTAATCTTGTTGATTTCAGACCAATTTGTAAAGGTCATTTTCAATTCAAATCCTGTCTTCCAAAGTGCTTGCAACCCCTCCCCCACAAATTTTAGAAGCATATTCTCCACTCCATTGTCCAAGTCATTATTGAATAGTACCGGAAAGACCCTTATAGGACCCAATTAGATAAGTCTCCCTATTTTAGTAGCAAAGCATTGATAACTATACTTTGAATATGGTGTTTCAACCAGTTATGCACCCACCTTATAGTAATTTCATCTATACCATATTTCCCTAGTTTGCATATGAGAATGTCATGTGGCACTGTGTCAAATGCCTTACTGAAATCAATAAATATCATGTCTACTGCTTCCCTGCATCCATTAGGCCAGTAACCCTGTCAAAAAAGGAAATTAGGTTGGTTTTGCATGATTTTTTTCTTGACAAATCCATGCTGGTCAGTCTTTATTATCGTCTAGGTCCTTACAAATTGATTGTTTAATCATTTGCTCCAGTATCCTTCCAGGTATTGAAGTTAGGTCTATAATTCCCTGGGTCCTCTTTGTTTTCCTTTTTAAAGATAGGCAATATGTTTGTCTTTCTCCAGTCTTCTGACACCTCACCAAGTTCTTGAAGGTAATCTCTAACGGTTCCGAGATCACTTCAGCTAGTCCCTTCAATGCCCTAGGATGAATTTCCTCAGGCCCTGCTGACTTGCATATATCCAGTTTACCTAAATAGTCTTTAATCTGATGAAGCCATATTGGCCTCTTACTATTCTTGCTATCTTTCCTTTGCATGGGATAGTTTGCTGTTGCACCTTTAATATTGTCTCTTTGAAAAACTCCCTGCACTCCTGAACTCCTTTTTCCCCCATGGGACCTTACCTACCAGTTCTCTGAGTTTAAGTCTGCCTTTTGGAAATCTATTGTCCCTATGCTGCTGCTCCTTTCCTAAAAATCATGAAATTTATCATTTCATGATCATTTTCACCCAAGCTGTCTTCAACCTTCTCATTTGCAACCAGTTCCTCTTTGAGTCAGAATCAAGTCTAAAATGGCACCCTGGTTACTTCCTCCACCTCCTCGCTGGCTGGCACATACACTCAACTTTGCGTCCCAGCATGCATGGCTTTGCCATACTCATGTCTGCACAGAAAGGAAGCCTTAAAGTCAAAGTCCCATGGAAGCAATCTGTCTAGGTATAGCTACCATGCAATAATAATATATAACTTTCCCTCAGTCCATGTCAAAGCACTTTAGAAAGGAAGTCCATATCATTATCTCCATTTTGCAGCTGAGGAAACTGAGGCACAGAGCAGGGACGTGACTTGCCCAGGGTCACCCTGCAAGCCAGTGGCAGAGCCCAGAATAGAGCTCAGGTTTCCTGAGTTCAGTATCCTATCCATTGGATCACACTGCTACCCCATACTCGCCACCATTGCATCTCAACCTCACTGTATCTGATCACCTTGACAGTCACGGGTCTAAGTAATTAACTCAATCTGGCCATCTCCCATTTCATTGGCTCGCACATGCCTCTGGGGATTCCAGAATTACTGTGTGATTTTTTTTCTTTTCTTCCTATCTTCTCTGCAGAATGGCACCAGCTTCCACGTTTTCGATCAAGGTCAGTTTGCCAAGGAGGTGCTGCCTAAGTATTTCAAACACAACAACATGGCCAGCTTTGTCCGGCAGCTGAACATGTGTAAGTAAAACTCCAATGCCTGAGTGCACTATAATGGAGACATCATCTGGGAAAGAAGGGAATAAAATAAGCATAAGAATAACAGATAAATTTAAGTATAAGAGCCAAGACCCAGATATGAGACTCCGCGTTCCACAGAGGCTCAAATTGAAGGGCACAAGAAAAATGATATGGATTAAATTCTTTTTCTTAAATAATTTTGCCTTACCCTTCATATTAAGATTTAGCATTTCTGCAGCAACTAATGTACGATAATATAAATGAGATGGTGCCAACTGTGTGTGGCCTGAATTATGTGTCTAAATGAAGGCCTTCCCTTGTAAAGACAGAAAGTTGTGCAATATGGATAAAGAATTGTTATAGAAGGCTGCAGATTGATTAAAGGCTTCTGATGAATTCATAGGTCATGAGAAAGGCTTGTTACCAGAACGCAGGAGTGAGATTTCCTTGTGCTGTATTTATATTAGAGCACACAGATTACTTTAATTGTAAACAAAGTTTCCATTCCAAAGTTTTCGGCTTACAGTCAGTCTGATGACACATAATTTGTCATTTGCTTTATATAACATGTTATATCAGAATTTTCAGAAACCCTATTGATATTCTTGCCCAGTAGCAGAATCTTAAAAGCACAATCTTCACCCATGCCCAGGGTTTGGTTGTACTGAGAACAGTTCTCATCCGTCATCAGTAGGAGGTCATTTTTGTTAGAAAACCAGTTTTTATATGCCCCTTGACTGGTCACTTAATACATTTTCCTCTATGTTATATAGCAGGGGTAGGCAACCTATGGCACGCGTGCTGAAGGCGGCACGTGAGCTGATTTTCAGTGGCACTCACACTGCTTGGGTCCTGGCCACCGGTCCGGGGGGCTCTGCATTTTAATTTAATTTTAAATGAAGCTTCTTAAACATTTTGAAAACCTTATTTACTTTACATACAACAATAGTTTAGTTATATAGTATAGACTTATAGAAAGAGACCTTCTAAAAACGTTAAAATGTATTACTGGCACACGAAACCTTAAATTAGAGTGAATAAATGAAGACTCGGCACACCGCTTCTGAAAGGTTGCCGATCCCTGTTATATAGCATATTATGGCATAGCTCATAGTTTAGGCCAATATCCGAGAGTCCCAGGTATGGTTTAGATAAGTGGTTTAGATAAGTGACCACAAGCATCCAAGGAAAGATTTTCAGAGGCACAAAGGGCAGCTAGGTGTCCAACTTTTGCTGAAAGTCAATGGCACCTAACTGATTTTTACCTCTGAAAATCTCCTACTAAATCTCTGTAGTCAAAAAATCAGAGTGGAGATTTTGTAAGAACTGGTCTAGCCCTTCCTAGTATTTTGTTACTTCCAGGCTTGCCAAAACTATGAAGAACAGTTCATGGGGGTGGGGGGGAGAAGAAAAATAGATTTTAAGATGTATTGAGTATTTTTCACTATGGCAGGTAAACTGTTGTTATCAGCTGGGTGAAACCTTGTCATGGGATTCAGAGACTCTAGGGTGAACTCACCCTATAGTTAACATAATTGTAAGCATAAGCCTGACCTAAGTCAAAAGGAGTGCATGAACCTGCCCAGGGGCTTTGCTGAATATCATTTTGGGGAAGGGTATATGCAGTGCTTAATTTGCAATGAAAGAGGTACCGGGGCTCAAGCAATTAGATGCCAGGGCTCAAGCAATTTTTTTACTTTCGTAAGTGACTAAGCAAGCCCAGAGGTGCCAGGGCTATGAACTGCCAAGCGTAAAGGTTTATTCTGTGTAAATAAACAAAACTGCACCAGTTTATCTTCAATTTCAACTTCCAGCTGCAACACCCACAGGGCCTCAAACAGTAACTAGCTGCTAGGGGCAACACTATCACATGCTTTCTTTATTTTTAATACATCTGCAAGGTATTAATATTTTGAAGCACCGGTTGAAGTTTCAACAGCATTTCACGTGTCCCATTCCTAAAAATCCTCAAGCAACTACAGAACATGTGATCTGTGTCGTTAGAGTGTTTTTTGGGTAACAAAATATCCCAGTAGTAGGTGCTGGATTTAGGGGGTGAAATTCACCCCTGTGCAGAGGCCAGCACAACACCTAGGCACTGCGTATGTCCTATTTTGAGGTCTTAAATAGAATGTCAGAGGTGCTTTGCCCTCTGCCTGGTGATGAACTCCAGCCTTAATTACATTTTTATTTTTCACAAAAGCATTACAAGGTAAAGGTGGGCTGTGGATGTTTACATGAGAATTAGAAATGGCCCTTTCAACTGAAGGCCAGCAGTTTAAATGCAGCCTAGGTTAAAAAATGGTTTCTCTCCAAGATCTGTTCAGTAGCCCAGGTGGAATGAGTGCTAATGGGCAAGTTGGTAACAAACAAGAGTCACCATCATTACAACTGGCACTAATTAGCAGCCCCATTCAGCAGAGAGGTGCCGGGTTGAATTGGTTGTAGAGACTGTACTACCATCTCAGCATCAGGTGCCTCCAGTTTGTGGTTTGAGGCGTATTTGGCTAGATAAATTAGCATCTCTGGCCCATCTCTGCCACTGGCGTGTTAAGGACCATGTGAGCTAACCAATGAAGGGTTCGCTCCTTGCAGCATATTTGCAATATCTAGGACAACACTCAGGCAGAAATTAGGAGCAGGGGAAAGGAAACTACACTTGAAAATCAGTGGGTAATGGGGGGAAGGCTAATTCAAACATTGGGATTCTTTGTTCTTCCCAATCTATATGATCTACATGGTTCTCACCAGTTCTGTTTACATTTAGATGGCTTCAGGAAAGTGGTAAATATAGAGCAGGGTGGCCTTGTCAAGCCTGAACGTGATGACACTGAGTTCCAGCATCTTTATTTCCTACAAGGCCACGAACACCTCTTGGAACACATCAAAAGGAAGGTGGGAATTGAGTGAGAGCTGCACCTCCTCTCCTGGGGCGCTGATGTGCATGGGGTCTAATTGTGTCATTAGAGGAACGGGCAGGGTGATGGAAGGCTGCTAGAAAGCTTGCACCGTTAGCTAACCTCACTTCCTAGAATCGCTGACATTAGGGATGTAGAAGGCCCGGGTAGATCATCTAGTTCATCTCCTTAGTGCTAGTGCTGGATTGATCCTTAAAGTACCATTTTTGTCCAGTTCAGTTTTAAATAACTCCAGTGATGGGTCTTTCACCACAGCTACTAGGATGCTAGTCCCTAGCCTAATAGACCTCACTATTAAAGAATTTTTCATGCTCTTCAGCCTCTGTTTACTTTCCAATGCCCCTAGCTATGACCCTTTGGGGCCACCCCGAACTCTTAAAACGGTGTCTCCTGTTCCAATATATCATCACTTAATAGCCCAGGCTGTAGCTGATACTCCTGCTTAGAAACCATTGCAAAGCTCTCATCCCTGTGCATAATGTCTTGCGGTAGTAAATTCTGCCTCATGTGCTCCTCTCAGGTCTCTGTCGTGAAAAGCGAGGAAACGAAGATGCGCCAGGAGGATCTCAGCAGGTTGCTCTACGAAGTCCAGATTCTGAGAAGTCAGCAGGAGAACATGGAGTGTCAAATGCAGGACATGAAGCAGTGAGTTGATCGCATTCACATTGCTCCTACGTGTTTGCTTCGTGACATAGTTGCAAACCCTGGGGAGTATTTGTAAGACCTATGGACCTCTGGGAATTATATCATGCACATCCAATACGATCTTTTAAAATGAATTCCCTCTGTGCTATAAACATTTGTTTTATGTCCAATGAAGTATTGGGTTTTGGTCTTCCTTTCCATTTTGAATTTATAAAAGGAATTTAAAAATTGCATTCAATGAATTAAAATCACATGCCACAAATAATGAGAAGTGAATAGTCAACATGAACAGACTGCAAACAGCCCACAGGCTGAAAAATTGTACTTCCAAACTATTCCACAAATCCCTACAAATAATGGTATCAGAATACAGTCACAAATGAGTGGTGGGCAAATAGGGCTGTATTCGCTGGCTATTTTTACCCAGTGAATTACTTGACCAGCTCTGTCTATAACTTGTCTTGTGCCAAGTTCTAAGGCACTGAGAATTATGGCTGTTCTGAGACCACTGCACAATGAAGGCACAGAAGCATGCACTAAGGATGGAGCCTCCGTGCTGGATTCACTAGTTCTTAGCGTTAAAAAGAAGACCCTTGAGGCCAAATTTTCAAGAAAGCCTATAAAACTGCTCACATAAAACCTGTGCATACAAGCTATGTGTGTAGGTGGACAATTTGATTTGCAGACACAATTTGAGAGGTCCCTTTGAAATATCGTCTCATTGGGGTTGGGAGGGATTGAATTTACATGAGTGCCATTTCAGTCGAAGTGGAAAGAAGTATAGTGTTGCCAAACCAGTCAGAAATCACAAATGATTTTGGATTCTTTTTATTTGCCTTACGTTTGTTGAACTTTTTGTGGGTTGTATTTTCAAGCTTTCTCTGCAACCAGGAAGGCCAACTACTTATTTTAAATAGATATAATATGAAGGTTGAGACGCTCAGATAATCACGTCTCCAGCATCTGGGGTTTTAAGAAAAGATACACATCTCACACAGTCGGCCGCGGCAGCGAACGCCAGGCCTGTGGGTGGGGATGCCTGTGTGATGTTTCTGTTTCCCTTTCAGACAGAATGAAGTCCTGTGGCGGGAAGTTGTATCTCTCAGGCAGAATCATTCTCAGCAACAGAAAGTGATCAACAAGGTAGCGATCAGCCCAGCTTGGCTCAGATAACCGTAAAGTTGTATTGAACTGTGTTATGCAGACTATCAGAAAGATGTAGTTAAGTCTCCCTATTCCTGTCCAGAGCCTACATTATATTTTGTTCAGTCTCTGTCATTGCCATGTATGTATTTTCCCTCTTTCCTAATTGCACTGCACATGGCTCTCCTGAGTGCTAATAGGAGGTCTGTGTGACAGGCGGAGAATTGTATCACCTTTGGCCATATCTGGTTTTACAGCCAGGCAGCCCTAGGATAGCATTAGGGGAGCTCAGACTTAGCGTCTAGCTCTGTGCTCATGTATAAAGAAGGGTAAAATCCTTAAGCAGATGAATTTGTATTGCTCCTTAGTGATCACAGTGACTTTAGGCCACACTGTATGTAGGGGAGTCATGGGCACTTTGAGCCTGATCCTGTTTACATTGAAATCGGGGGCAAAGCTCTCACTGGTTTCAATGGGAGCAAGATGGGTCATTTTATGCATTTTCTATTTTGTATGGAGATAGTCCTCATCATTAATACCTTGGGCTCTGGGTGTCAACTACAGACTTTTGGGCTTGCTCAAATTTCTCCCTAGCTCTTTGTGCAAGTCACAGTAAAATCATCACAAAGCCTGTACATTCCCTAGGTTGTGCAACCCTTCCTCCCATCGGTGAGTGCCACTGAGGCCAGTGAGCGAGGCGGGACTCACCAAGGGGAGAAAAGGTTGCACTACCTAGCCCGAAGCATAAGATCCTTGAGCCTGCCCCCGCTGAAGTCAATGCTAAGAACAGGGACCAGGGCCAGCTCTGGCTTTCTGGCCGCCCCAAGCAAAAAAAAAAAAAAACCTGCAGCGTGGCCGGAGCTAGGGTGCAGGGGGACTCCCTGCCCTGCAGATGTGCCCCGGCTAGCGGGGGGAGGGGGAGGGAGCGGGGGGAGAGAGAGAAGGGGGGCGGCCAGGGCTTCAGTGGGGAGCTGCCACGCGGCCCCTCCCGCCGTGCCCCCTGCTGGGAGGGCTCCGCACCGCTCCGGTTGGCTGGGAGGGAAGGACGCGGGCTGCCCTGCTGGGCTTGCTGCAGGGCGCGCCCGTCCTCCACGCTGCTGCCCCCTACAGGGCGGTCGGAGCAGAACAACAACAACAACAACAAAAAGCGGCCGTGCTGCCCTAGAATTGGGCAGAATGCCGCCTCCTACAAGCTGCCGCCCCAAGCACCAGCTTGCTCGCCTGGTGCCTGGAGCCGGCCCTGACAGGGACTATCACAGATACTGCAGCAGTGTTATCTCCTCAGATGGGCAGAACTGTATGGTTTCTAACTGCCGTCGCTACACCGCAATGCTATGCTTGTCCTTCTCGGACTTCTCAGTTAAAAATTGCATCAGCTTTTCTGTTGAGTGGTTCACATGACATTTTATGCACAGTCCGAGAGATGGGAAGGTCACGTTTCCATAGATTTCAAAGAATCCAGGCCCAGATGGAGCCCTGATGCATCAGTGAGAAGGCTGTGAAAGGATGCAAAGAGCCTCCCCATCCCTTGTGCATGCAGACACAGCCGCAGTTTCTGTGTCTCTCAGTGTAATTTCTGAGGTGTACCGACCACCTGTCCCTCCTCCATGCTGGACAGCAGAACTGGCCCGTTGCACCAGGGAGTGTACAGGTGGCTGCTCTCCAGTCTGCCAGGCAGCTCCATGATGAGTTCTTCAGAGTTATCTGGCTGGTAGAGGGAATTATTGGGTGAAATTCTAGGGTCTGAGTTATTGAGGAGGTTAGACTGGATGATCACAATGATCCCTTCTGGCCTTAAAATCTATTAATTCCTCCTGGAGCTTCCCCAGGGGAGGGGAGGCTCCACAAAGCCCCCACCATGGGGCTGCATGTAAATGGCACAGCGAAGCCCACAGTCATTCCCTCTCCACCAAAGAGGAGTCACGTTCTGATTCTAACACGATGGCATGGTAGAAGCCCCCCACACACTGTAGATGCATTTTCGCTGCTCTCTTTCTTGTACGGCAAGAAACAGGCATGCGATGGATGCAAGACATGATGCTAATACACAGTTTGTACCTGGCCTGCGGTGAAAGTGTTGCATTAGGCTTGAGTCAACTGTCCTCTGATGAAGGATTTCTCACTATGAACGCATTCTTGCGTTATGGTTAGTGTCTTGAGCAAAACAGGGTTAAAAATCCAGCAGAAGTGGCTGAGACACCCAGTCCAGGACCACCCGTAGGATATTGCCTTTTAATCTGTAAATAGCCCGTTACCTTATATAGAGATTGATTCTGGCCAAGCAGATCTGTATGCATTGATGCACACGGAATTACGTGCTTGCTTGCACACATACACCAGGTATGATGGGGTTAGTTGGGGACTGTGTATGCACATGGTGAGCTAGCTAGTCCTGTTCATGTGCACCTGGCAGTGAAAGAATGTGCACAGTTCCATGCATGGAAACACTAGCTGAAAATCAGGTCCATGAGGTCATTTCATACATTCTGATTCGGATATTCCACCCCATACTAGGAAAAACTTTCTAACTCGAAGGGTAGTTTCAGTTCTGGAACAGGCTTCCAAGGGACGTTGTGGAATCCTCGTCATTGGAGGCTTTAGAGAACAGGTTTGACAAACACCTGCCAGGGATGGTCTGCTTGGTCCTACCTCAGCACAGGACCCTTCCAGCCCACCATTTCTATGATTCTATATTCTGCACGGCAGATCCCATATCTTTGGGGTTTCGGTAAAATGGGGGAATGTACGTGATCAGAAAGGTGCTCTGGAGTGTGGAATGCTGGACCACTGCTGATTAACACCTGACTTTGATCTCCCCTAACAGCTGATTCAGTTTCTGTTCGGCCAGCTCCAATCAAACCCCAGCGGCGCTGGGATAAAGAGAAAACTGTACGTACCCTGGTGTGGCGCGCACACGGACGGATAATGCTCACACTTCATTAAAAACACCAGCCCAGCTCAGAGTGGGGTGGGAAGTCACCTGACTCGGGCACCATGGCGATAACAAATGAATGGGGCAGACCTGCTGAGTCAGACCTGCTGACACGCCTCATTCAGTGGCCTTTAGAGAACCACCATGTCAGCTTGCTCTGACCTTTATTTTAATAATACAGAGTGAGCTGAAAGAGGGACAACCGAACTAACTGCGGGCCTGATCCAGCTCCCTTGGAAGCCAATGCACGCTTTCCCATTTGAAATCAACGGGAGCAGAATTGGGCCCTAGCTAACTAAAAGAATCAGTTAATTAAAACAGAGTCGCTGGACTTGGATGCATATAAAATAGTTCAGGTTGCACTTAGGATGCTGCTTCTACAACTATAATCTTAAGGGCAAATTACTGTTGTGTGGAAGTCATTGATGGCATGTACATCTTGTGAGACTTGCTCTTTATTATTGGAATAGATGCTTGGGAATAAGCCTATGTTGTTAGGGTAAAATTCGCCCCTGCGCAGAAGGTCAAATTCAGGCTTTATCTTGAGGTCTTAAACGGGCTGCGTGCTGGCCCTCGGCGCACAGGTGAATTTCATTCAAGGTGCTTGGCTACCACAGTGATGGGCTGATATGATAGATGTGGCCTGATTTCACTCTAACTTAAACCAGTATAAATCTGGAGTAGCTCCACTGAAGTCAGTTAAGGTACACCACCGTATCGGGGGAGTAAGTGAGAGGAGAATCTGGTGTATCAGTTCTTGGCTATGAGTGTTAGTTGAGAACTCACCCCTTATTGAGAGCTTCTGTAACTTGCACGTCTATGCTCTCTGCCTCTATGTAAAGTCTGTGTAAGATTAGAGCTGGGCCTGAGTTGTCAAGTTTGGATCCAGACCCAAATACAAACTTCTCCACGTTCATGGGTAGGTGAATCCTGTCTTCCAGTTTGAACTCATCTCTATTTATGACCTATGGTAGCTGCAGTGACAGCATTCAGACAGAAGAGGAAGCACTTCTGTGTATTAGGATTGAAGGAACTAGGAATGATCTTTTCTGACTCACGGCCAGGAGAATACCAAGCACATGGGAAAGGGCTCTGCTCTCTGCTTTGTAGCTTGCTGTGGTTCTTAAATGAAAGCATCTTGTTAAGAAAGGACATTGTCTTTGAATGTGTCATGGACTGGCCTTGTGGTCAGAGTCAAGATCCAGGAGCCAGAGCCAAGGACCAGGACCCAAGAGTCCGGAGCCAAGATGGGGAGCAGAGCACGAGCAAGGAAGCCACAGGACTGAGAACAAAGCAGGAACAGTGGTGGAGCAAGCTGGGAACAAGGCAGGCACAGGAATGATTGCAGATGTGGGCATAAGCATTGGACAGCTGCTGCCCAAGTCCTGGCAGTGCAGCTCAGTCACTCAGGCGATCTCTCCGATGAAGGGTTCGAGCTGCAGTTAGCTAGCAGTAAGGTCATGGAGTCTGTCTAAGAATTAATAAAATATTGAGCCCTGAGGTAAGCACTGTCTGCCTGCTTCCATGTTGTATGCAGTGTAGTGGTGGGCATGTTGGTCCCGGGATATTAGAGGGACAAGATGGGTGAGGTAATGTCTTTTATTGGACCAACTTCTATTGGTGAGAGAGACAAGCTTTCAAACTTGCACAGAGCTCTTCTTCAGGTCTGGGAAACTAATTGCCTATTCTACACCAAGCCTAGGCTAAGCACAGAGGCTGTAGCATTATTGAAGTCAGGCACTGACCATAGGCGCCAACTTTCTCAGGCGCCGGTGAGTGCCTGTGCCCCCCCACCCCATCCCCGCCCCTGCCCCACCCCCATTCCAACCCCATCCCCAAAGTCCCCGCCCTAACTCCGCCCCCTCCCTGCCCCATTAGATCCCTTTCCCAAATCCCTGACCCAGCCCCGCCTCTTCCCCCAGTGCGCCGTGTTCCCCCTCTTCCCCACTCCCTCCCTGCCCCGCGAATCAGCTGTTTCGCGGCGCAAGTGCTGGGAGGGAGAGGGGAGAAGCAGGATGCGGTGGCGCGCTCGCGGAGGAGGCAGAGGCGAGCTGGAGCAGGGGGGCAGGGCAGGGCCACGGGGAGCTCCGGTGGGTACTGAGCACCCACCAATTTTTTTCCATGGGTGCTCCAGCACCGGAGCACCCATGGAGTCAGCGCCTATGGCACTGACCATAACCTCTAGGAGATGGTAGTCCTCTCTGGTTTGAAAATAATTTTACTTACAAAACTTACAAAGTTTAGATAGTGCATGGAAATGCACAAAGATAAAGACACACTTGTTATTGCTAGATGTAATGGGTGTAACCCTATAGGCCTCCTGTGTTTCTGAGCTCTACTTGACTAACCAATCAGCTGATCTAGCAGAACTAGAGCCAATTTCTCTTTAAAACAAGAAAATGAGAGGGAGAAGCCAGGCAAAGGTTGGGTTTTGCTGTTTGTTTTTGTTTTAAATATTAGCAATGATGAGGAAACTCAATGAAAAGAGGATGCAGAAAGAATGGGCTAACCTATAACGTTAGACCTATAGGTCAGTTCATTGTTAGGAGGATTTGTAACCCCTTGCAAGCTCAGCTGTCTGCCATTCAGCATCAGGTTCTGTTTTTCGAGGAGATTAATATGCTTGGCTGCTTTTTAAAAAATAATGTGCTAAGGTTTCCTGAAATAGTCAGTTTCCCCTATACCAATTAAAAATGTTCCCCATTGTTCTTTCCAGAGTAAAACAACTGGACTCCACCTAAGAAATCTTTCCAATCGGACTTCCAGCTGTTCATTGCCCTTTTTCTCATTTATTATTTGTTACTATTATCAAGCACTGACAATGTGATCAACACCGTATAAGACAGAACAAAGACATTCCCTGCCCCATGGTACTTGCAATCTAAAGAAAGGCACAGAGGCTCTTAGGGGAGGAAGGATGGATGGCCCTGTTGTTAGGGTAGTGGACAGGGACTTGGTTCCTAGCTCTGCCACAAACATCCTGTGTGGCCTTAAGCAAGTTACTGAATTTCTCTGTGCCTCAGTTCCCCATCTGCAAAATGGGGGTAATACTTCCCTATTTCATAGTGGTAATGTGAGGCTAAATAAGTGTGAGGTGCTCAAGTATTATGGTGACGAAGGCCATATCTTAGTACCCAAGAGAGATCAATTATAGCCAAAATTTTCAAAAGGGTCTAGTGGTCTTGGTTGCCTCAGTTTTCAAGGTCCCAGCTTGAGATCCCTTAAAGGGACCTGATTTTCAGATAATGGGGGCTCAGCATTTTGTACTAATCAAGCCCTGTTAAGGTATTTCATTTCCCCCACCCCTTGCAAAATCGAGAGATCCATAATCACTTGTCACTTTTTAAATAATTCCTGAGTGTCATCTGGACTCGGGGGGCGAGGTACTGTGCATCGTATAGAATGGAAGCTTAACTGAGGATGGGGGAACAGCAATTGGCATTAACCCCCAGTCCTCCAAAATTCAGGTTGCGGTTTATCTGGAAAGTTGCATTCCCATGTATTCTATTCATTTTCTCTATTCCATTCATTATTTCTGATCAGACTTCTACCTTTCTAGTGAAATGTGTATGTAATACTGATTGGATTGCCCTGAAATTTAGACTCCGGTCTAACTGAGCTGAAATTTGGTTTATTGAAATACTTGGGCATTGGGTTATGTTGCATGTCTGGGCAGAATGGGGGTAAGACTCCAAAACAGAGCACAGAATGTAGAAGAGACAACTGGATTGAATAGGCAAATTGCAGAAATTCACACAAAGATGAAATGGAGAAAAGATTTTCTTTTTAAACCTCTGGTGAAAAGACGAAAGCTGCTCTTGGGAAGGTCTCTACTGGATGATTGTGTCTCACTGGAACCTAGTAGCTTGACAGGGCTTTCACTGAGAATGAACTTCCCTTTAATAGTGTGGCTGAGGTAATAGGTTTTCTCTAGTATCAGTCATATAACCCCTCCCAGCGCTTAATTTAAATTATTAAAAGCATAAATATTGCAGCCTCTGCAAAGGAAAAATCAATAGGATGGATGCTTTGGTGGTCCAAGCCTCAGGTTTGAAGTACTGGACTTAGACCTCTGTGGAACTGCAACTTCTAATCCTGGTAGGAGTGTTTCAGATTTTCTGTCTTCTGTGGGCTATAAATAGAGTTCTGTGTCATTTACCGTGTGTGGATCTTTCAGATAAGACCTGGAAAACCAAGGTCCTGTGTCCTCTGCAGGGCCGCCCAGAGGATTCAGGGGTCCTGGGGTCTTCAGCAACGGGGGCCCCCGCCGCCGAAACCCGGCACTTCAGCGGCGGGTCCCGGGACGGAAGGACCCCCCGCTGCGGGTCTTCAGGGCACTTCGGTGGTGGGTCCCGGAGCGGAAGGACCCCCTGCCGCCGAATTGCCACCGAAGACCCGGAGCGGAAGAAGCTCCAGGGGCCCGAGGCCTGAGGCAAATTGCCCCACTTGCCCCCCCCTCTGGGTGGCCCTGGTTCTCTGCATGGACATGAAAGGTCCCGTGTGCTTGGTGATCTATCCAAAGCTGCTCTTACACTGTATCTTTTCACTTTACCGTCCATGACCCAAGACAGGAAAGCACCTGACAACAGAAGAAAATTGAGAGGCTGCCAGCTGATACCAGCCACTGATTCAGATGTTTCTTGCACTCATACTTAGGTGGCAGACAGTTAATACAAGGCTGAGATAAAATATCTTTTCTCCTTCTCTCCACAGACCTCTGATGTTAGATGATGGAAGCTCAGCGCCACAAGTGTCCAAGTTCAGCCGACATTTGTCTGTGGACCCTCTTCATGATTCCTATTTCATTCAGTCGGTAGGTTCGCTTTCAAACACGGACCCTTGTTTCATTCCTTCTTTTTGTCATGGTGTCATTGTGAGAAAGGTGACATTTCTGTGCATGAACTATTAGCACAGGTAACTCTTTTAAATGAGAGAAAATGTTTAAAAGTGACCCAATGTGGCAAAAATGCATTGTGAAGAGAGAGATTTGCAAAGTTACATTTTATTTATCTGAATATTTACTACTCCGCAGTGAAAGAGGGCCCACCCCGCTCTCTGGCTGCCCTTCCCTGCTGTTCCCTGACTGGTTGAGATGTAAAGGGGGCTCTGACTGGAGTAGGGGAGAGAGATTCTGGCTGCTATTTCCTGGTTACTACTCACAGGCCCATGTGATCAGGGAGGGTGATAGAGCTGGAGCACAACCCGGTGTCATTCTAGCCAGCTGTTTGGCCCTGGGTGGCCTGGGGGGGACTATATTCTGGGCTACTTCTCTATGGTTAGGGTCCTCCCAGCTGGGAATCCATCCTTAACAATCTGGGGTGGCACCTAAATGACTAAGGAGCACGAGTCCCAAAATCCCACCTCTGGACTCTGAGTATAAAGATCCCACCTAAAACGTCTCTACATATTGTGACAAAGTTCCTCCTCTATCTTGGTGGGTCCTGCGCTTATTGGCGGATTTTCTTGCCTCAGAGATTCACCATGTGGGTTGGGGAACAGCCCAGAGACCTTCCCCTCTGGAAGAACCCACAGTCCAGGTCAATTGGGAGGTTTGGGGGGAACCCGGGCCCGCCCTCTACTCCGGGTTCCAGCCCAGGGCCCTGTGGACTGCAGCTGTCTATAGTGCCTCCTGTAACAGCTGCATGACAGCTACAACTCCCTGGGCTACTTCCCCATGGCCTCCTCCCAACACCTTCCTTATTCTCACCACAGGACCTTCCTCCTGGTGTCTGATAACGCTTGTGCTCCTCAGTCCTCCAGCAGCACAGCACACCCACACCCTCTCAACTCCTTGCGCCTCTTGCTCCCAGCTCCTCACACTCGCACCACAAATTGAACTGAGCTCCTTTTAAAACCCAAGTGCCCTGATTAGCCTGCCTTAATTGATTCTAGCAGCTTCTTCTTAATTGGCTCCAGGTGTCCTAATTAGCCTGCCTGCCTTAACTGGTTCTAGCAGGTTCCTGATTACGCTAGTGCAGCCCCTTCTCTGGTCACTCAGGGAACAGAAAACTACTCATCCAGTGACCAATATATTTGCCCTCTACCAGACTCCTGTACCCCATTGGTCTGGGTCTGTCACAATATAGACATGCAGCCCGTAGCCTCTTCCTAGCTCTCCAAGGCAGGAGCCATTCAGAGAGCAGCTAGAAACAGAGGCCTCCTGGCCAGATGAGAAGACAACAGCCCTGCGTAATCCATAGCATCATAACTCCTGTGATTGCCTTGGTTACCCTGCCCAGCGCAGAACAGATGCCATAGATGCCACTTGTTTAAACAAGGTGAATTCCCAGGCACCGGGTGCTGTAAGCAAAGACTCTATGTAACTGGAGAGAGAAAGGGTTACACTGAGTTGTTGGGACATAAAAATAAGGTCCTGGTTGCTTGCAGTGATTTAAAGGTCTCATGGATCCTTCAACCAAGGGGAAGTTAAGGGGTCTTGGAAAATTTAAATATGTTCTAATCCCATTCTGCCTACATTAAAATCCCTCTGGAGCTGTCATTCCAATTGGCATAGTTATTTTATAGGTGTACTGTAGTAGGCCTGTGGGTGGGGGAGGGGTGTGAGGTGATTACAATGCTGTATGCACTTTCCTCACGTGAGTATTCCACCATCCACTTCATTGACTGCAAGAGAATTGCTCCCATGAGTGACAGAAGCAGGGATTTGCCCGTAGGGCCCAATCCTGTAAACTCTTACTACCAGAGATAGTGCTTAGTACCAAATGTAGTTCCATTGAATTCAGTGGGGCTATACCCAGTAATAGGGACTAGATTTTGCCACTTAGCTGCCCCCCCCTCGTAGGAGCTCCAGGAAATCGACTGCCTCATGCTGTCCCGAGCTGCTGAGTCTCACAAGGCAATGTGTGGGAGTTCAAGGAGTTTGGTGGAGATGAGCCAGAATCCCTGTCACAAGCAAGTAACCCATCTCTGCCCCTTGCTGAGCCAATGTATAACTGACCTGACAAACGTCTTTAATTCTTCTTGCTGTCTCACAAACTGATCATTTTGTATTTTCTTTTGCAGCCATCTACAGAACCTGCCTCGTGCTTAACCAGCCCTGCTATTGCTGGAGGGCCAGTCATATCGGATGTTACTGAAGCATCACCACCAAATGTCGTGTCGCTTCAATCTCCTCCAGAGGGTGACAGGTAAAGAATGTTATTGTGATCGTAAACTAAGGGTGTGTCTGTACTTTGGGCTCTGGGTATAATTCCTAGCTCAGGGAGACATACCCACGCTAGCTAGGGTGTTAAAAATAGTCTAGCCATGGCAGCGTGACCCATCCAAGACACTAGACACATACTCGGGTGGCTAGCCCCTCTCACCACTGCAGCTGCACTCTCTTTTTAGCACATTAGCTCCATGAAAGCTAGAGTGGGTATGTCTCCTTGAGCTGAGAATTACATACCTCACTCAAAAGATAGAGACACCCTTAGAGATCTGTGCCAGGACACAAATAACTACATCAGAATATTGTGTAGGCCTAATTCTACTATGGCATATGCATCTCAGTCAGTACTATATGCCTCACATATTTACAGAGTGGCTGTGTGTTTTATCTGGTTTGCAACTTGCCATATGTGGGTAATTTTAAAAAACAGGTTGTGACCCTGCATGCGCACAAATTGCAATAATCAGTCGTTGGTTTTGTGCTGGGAGCTACCACACACTTCCTTGAAAAGTTATCCAGAACATTTTACTGATACTTTCTCCTCAAGAAAATGGAAGTCTCGGTCTTAATCAGAGAGTAAGATATCTGGATTTGTTGGCTTTATTTTGAGACAGAGTGAAAGAGAAAGCGAGAGCTTCTATTCGGTTTTGATGAGGAAGAACTAAATGAGGAAGAACTAAACTGAACATCATCCTTATAACCAGAAAATAGAGAAGACTGCCATAAGTGCTCTAGAACTTTTAGGTCAACATGCAAAGATTCCAGAAAGTTACAACATTCAAATACACAGAGATATTTCAGAGTTAGACTATATAGCTTATCTCTTACTATTGTCCATTTTAGATATTCAGAGGCTTTATATTACAGTGACGAAATTATAAGCTATAATTATGTCCATGCAAACTGAATGGAATGGTGAAAGCTATGTAATCAATCTCTCTAGCTAATAGACAAGGCAGCTACTCTCTAGAAAAGACCTAGGCATGCTGATTGAACTGTGCTATCCCTAAAATTAGTTAGAAGCATGTTAAGTGCTCCAGGTAAGATCTGCTCCCTAAAACCAGTTTTCAGTATATAACAATGCTGCTTATTCTTGAGTGCCATCTACTGGCACTTTATTAATAAACTATCTACATATATAGGGACAGCTCTTTTGTAGAGAAGTCTCATAACAAGACAGAGATATAATTAATACTTGATGGTGTGGTGCATGATAAAGATTTTATTAGCATGAGCTTTTGATGGGTGCTCGCCATTCGTGAGTTCTGCAGACGATCCCAAATTTGTGCTGATGAATCCTTTGTAACATCCCACCCCATCACATATGTCGTACGTGCCAGATGTGTTACAGCAGCAAGTTGTGGAGTCTGATCACTTTTTATCAGTGTTGGTTTTTGTATCCCTCTGCCTGTAGAGCTAATCACCTTAGTTACTGTGAGTCCAGCTGTGCAGGGCTTATAAAAAACTTCTAAAAATGGCACATAGCAGTTTTTTACTCATAAAAATGTCACTATTTGAAAGTCTAATGGCTTATATCCTTTAAGGGCTAGAAATGAAGGCTGGTCCCATTGGATAAGGGGAAATCTTCCATTCCCAATGGGATAACGTTTCTGTCTGAGACTTTCAAGGCAGCTATGGGATTTGGATGACCTAGTGGGAATTTTAATGAGAATGGGTGTCTCAATCCTTTAGTCAGTTTTGAAAACCTACACCTCTGTTTCTAATCCTGCAGGGCCGCAAGATAATGAACAGGGACACTTTTACTTATAGAAAACCTGTCTTTGGGCTGTGTCTGAATCTTGCCCACATCCTGGGCCTCAGACGGAGGTTAGATTGGAGGAAGTTACACAGTAGGGAGGAGAAGAGGGAAATATTTCTCTGGCAGGTTAATTTAAAGAAACAGGGCTATTGTTTGAAGCTTCCCAGGGGGTGGGAATGTTAGACTGAGTGCTGAGGATATGGGCAGAGTGCAGGTGAGGTGGTCCAAAGAGCATGATAAATAGATATACCATATGGATGCCACCTTCTCCGCATATGTAAAATACCTGATGGGACATATTCACCTCTGGCATAACTCTGTTGAAGTGAATGGAATTATGCCAGCAGAAAATTTGGCCCAATATGCCTATTTTCAACTATAATAACAATAATAATAATTATTATAATTAATAACAACCTTAATGCAGGACACGCCCTGGAGATTAATGACCCGCTGATGTTAATGGCCCTCTCGTGCACGTTGAACCAAGAATTCCTTCTAGCTGGTCCTACATCTCCAGGAAATGTGCTGCACCTTGATCACGCTTGCTTCTAGGTAACATGCAGTAGCAGCAGCATTCCAGATGGGAGGTTAACACAATATCAATAACGCAGCAGACTCCAGCATAATCCAGGATTCCTTTAATCCATGTAGCGGTGTGGTCTCAGTGTCTGATATAGAACTGAAATGTAAAACACACAGTCTCACAGAAAAAAACGCATAGCCAGGGTGGCAGCCCTGGTCAGGACCACCAGGGTGGTTGCCCTGTAGTATTTCCCCCATGTGTGTGAGGTTAAATGAAATGTCAGTGCCCTTCCCTTGATCTAACAGTTGAAAGCTAAGACTTCCCAGTTGGTGTTTTCCTTCTGGCACAGCACGTGTTGCATGTGGTTGTGCCTTTGACAGTTCTTGCTGATTAAAAGAGGCCACCCCATTTTCTCCTGGCAGAGGAAATAAGAAGAGCCATGTGCATGCACAAGAAGGAAAAATCTCTGAGAAAAGCCGGTCCTTATTCCGAAGCCCACTGAAGTCAATGGGAGGCTTTCTACTGACTTCAGTAGGCCCAAAATTAAAATATTAAACTTGGGTGTAGACAGAGATCATGTGTGCAACTGGCCGCAGTGGGGGATAAACACTGCATGGTAGTTGGATCAAAAGCAGAAACAGCCCCTTTGCCACTACTGCCCTTCCTATTCATGCGAATAGCAAAGCCCTTGGTGCACGTATGTGTGAGTGTGGTGCTGAAACTTTTCTTTGGTTCAGGGGAAAATGCCACATGCTGATCAAGGAAGAACCAGTTAGCCCTGGAGTGAAAGCCACATCTGAGCCAGATGTCTCTCTGCCTGGCTGTAGTGCCTGTGCTGAACCCCCTGTGTTACCAGTTGCAATGGTTCAGTCTGTTTTAGAAGGCAAAGGGAGCTGCGGGGCGCCACAGTCTGCAAGTTCACAGCAACCCGAAAGAAGAGGCAGAAGGGCACCTCTAGACAGGTGAGGGGAGGACAGCAGCTATGCACATTCAACTGCATTGCACATGAGGGTTGCCACCTGTCCAGGTTTTCCCAGGATTATCCTGGGAGAACTGTAAGGCAGCTCAGTACACGCTGCCGGCTGTCCAGTTTGATGGGCTCAGGATTATCCCGGATGGCCTGGTTTTTTTTTGTACCTCAGAGGTGGCAACCCAATTACACGTGGCTTGTGGCTGGCTAACATCATGTCTGCTAATAACATTTGTAGTGATGCAAGTTCCATGCTGCAAAGGGCTTAAGGGCCAGCGTACAGTGCTAAAACCAGTGGAACATGGCACTGGCTTCACACAGCATGCTGTGCCCATTGTATCCTCTTGTGTCATACTAGGGAATATATCTGATAAGAGAGGACAAGAAACCTCCATCAGACACAGGTTTAGATCACGGGAAGAATGTTTCATTAGCAAAGAGCTGCCAGTTATGTCCTCCTCTTTTTTTCCTCCCTTCTCCAGCTCCGTGAACTCATGTGGGTTCTTCCCCCTTCAGTTTGCACTCCTTTCATCTCCTCACCTATCACATTCCTGATGGCCGGGAATCTCTCTTCATGCTCTGGCACACAAGTCAATGCTCACAAGTCAATAACTGATCCAACCTAGGTCATTATTCAGGTTATTTCTTTGGATACCATGCTCTCAGCCCATATGTTTTTGGGAAGATCACTTCATCCACTGACTCTTGCCTCAGAGTGTGTTTGTGGGTAGCCACAAGTCTTCAGGCAGACTGAGTGTTTTAATTCCTGACCATCTTTGACTAAAACTCAAGCCTGTCATGCAAGGGACCAAAGATTTATTCATTGGTCTTTTATCCTTTATTTGGAAGAGATTATTAAAATCTAGGCACTGTTACTCAAAAGTAGTTTTTACATGATAAATAACTGGGTTTTGAAACACATTTTGAAACAATGAAGTGACAAGCCAAATTGTTAATGGGGATGGAGAACAAAGAGCTGTGTGTTAATGAACACAAGAGGTCCAGGTATAGACAAATGCAGTTCTGCTCCTGAACTCTAAAGGATCACTGAGAATCTTGGAGCCATTGCAGATAAATATACTAGGGCCTGTAAGATACACAGAGACCGGTACCCTGCTGAGAAGGCATTTTAGCATAACTCTTCCTGGCTCAGCCAGAGGGGACATCCTGCGTAGCTCTCTTGAAAGAGCTGCTGTATATGGTCCATAAGGGTCTCTGGCTTGAATCTCAGCTGCAAGGATGATATGTCGGGAAACACAAAGCATGTCCAACCAGCAGGAGAACTGCCTTGCCTGTCACATCTGACCACCACATGGTAGACAGAGCAGTAAGAAATGAACAGAAAGGCACAGGGGTTTTGAGTGAATCTGAGAAGACTTGGGCAGCCCCAGAGAAGAAAGTTCTTACCACATGTTGGGCTGGATGAAAACTCTCATGGGAAAGGGGAAGAGAGAAGGTTAAGCGAATCCCAGTTGTAACTCGCTGACTTCAGTGGAGCCTCAGAGAGAGAAATCGGACCCACTGCTGCAAACAAGGGTCTACATAAAACCTGATACCTCTGAGGACACTCACCCTGTCCTTGTATTGATCACATTTTAACACATCCTGCCAACTCCATAGTTCCTCTTAATGTATAGTCCCAGATTAGCTCTCAGATAAGGCTGCCGTTGGAGATTACATTAGCCACCAATATAAAATCAAGGTTAGAATTTGGCTCAGAATGTTTTCAGTGAAGATGTTTACCCTCTTAAATATCGGTAAAGATTGTAGTATAACTCCACTGCTCAGACCCTAATGATGCATGAGTCTACTCTACAATGTAGATACAATGTACAATGAAGACATTTTAGAGCCAGAACTATTCTATCATTCCTCTCAATATTTTTTGCCTGCCACAAAATGTATACCTAACCTAATTATGCCATTTGGTCTATGTGCTTTCTTGCTATGTAGAATGTCCCCTTATTTCAACTCACTACTGGAATTTTGTTCCCTCTTGTAATCTGTTTGGTTCATTTTCCCTCTAATTAGAATATATTGCAGTCTATCTGTCTTCCCTTTTATATGGTATACACATGGGCACACTGACACAAACTAATAATTCAGGCTGTTTTTTTTGTTTTTTTTTTTTCAAAGGTGACCATATAAGGGTTCGGGCATCTGTTTATGGTGGCATCCATGGAAATCTTGTTTATGGCGCCTGCTGACAGGGCAGGAATGGCTGCAAACCTGGAACTTTCTGTATGGTCTCTTATGGAAAAGTCTGATAGAATTTAAGAGAAAATGGTGCGGGGAAACACAATTTTATAGAATTTAATAGGAAATCAAATCCCTGCTATAGAATTCTATAGGATAATTACAAATGTCTATAAAAAGAACTCATGTTCTTTTACATGTTGTAGGTTTGTAGAGTGATTTCTCTAGAACCCTGTTGATTTTAAACCCTATTGTATTCTACAGAACTTTTGCATAAGGGTTAATAATAATTCATCAGCTATATTATTATTATTCTTACAAATCATGTTTATTGGTGCCTGAGAGCTGACCAAGAATGGGGCTTCATTCTGGTAGGCCCTGTTCAAACACAGACGGTCTCTGCCCTGAAGAGCTTACAATCTAAACAGACAAGACAGGCACTCACGGTGGGGGAAGGAGTAGAAGACACCAGCAGAGTGAACAATGTGATGGTAGCCAATGTCATGTAAATGCCATGATTTTTTTGGAGGGAGAGGATAATTAGGAGGGGGATCATCTAAAGGGAAAGAGAAGATAGAAGGGCAGGTGTGGAGTGAAGCAGTTCCTGATTTTTGGCTGCTTTTTACGATTCCCTCCCTAGCAGGGTGTCACTCTTCTGTTAGCTTGTAAAACTCTTTCTATAATGGGCTCTTTCCCTAAATGCCATTTAATCACAGGAGTTAAAGCTTCTTGGATCAGATTAACTGAGCCTGGTATAGAAAGGTGTGCAATGTTCCGACTTCAGATCTAGAGGGGATCCATCCGGGGGGAGGGGGAGGAGGGGAGAGAGGGATAACCACCTGCTCCTCCCTCAGAATTTCCTCCAGGGAGGGTAGCTTTAATTCTGCCAGAGACCCCATAGGAGCCCAGTCTTTGGGAGCCACGGAGAAGCTGTGACCAATTAATATATTCCCAGACACATGGGCCCCTTACAAAGCATACAGCAGGCTCCACTGCTTCGTGTCACAATAGTCTTCTCCCCATTCTGGTGGGTCATGCTCCTGGGGTTGGTCCATAAAAGCTGGTATAACCTAGGGCTGAGTATGGCCCGTAGGGTTTGCCAGGTAAAATTTGGGCACATGCTTTACCTTGGGAAGTGAATACATTGTATTTTCTATATAAACGTGTCTCTTTCATATCGATGACACCTTTTCCTTTTCTCTTTCCTCAGAACAGAAATTTCTGACCCAATGGATGGCGCTGATTTGAGTTTAGAAGGCCTGCAACTGCTGCTGAGGAGCCAGCAGTATAATCTGGAACCTGCCAGCGTTTTGGATGTGAGTGTGAAGAGCACACTTTTGAGTGTGACAATCACTTTGATTGTTCCTAGAAAAACTGTGAACAATGTAGCATATTCTTGAGCACCCTCTACTGGCATCTTATCTATTAACTATCTATGTATATACAGACATCTCCTCTGTAGGGTATTCTCGTAACAGTAAATTGGAGCAGCTTCAGACTTTGTCATGCATTTTCATTTCTTGTGAAGGCAAATATACTTAGGTCTTGTACCCTGGGATCACACAACACAATCCATTTGGCTCAGACAAGGTCATAAGATCTAAAATAGTTTTAACACTCTCACTCTTACATAAAAATAGTTTTAATACTATTCTCTAGTAATCCAGTTAATATTTTTCATAGTATTCTGCATCCTGTATGGTCCCACCTCATCCAATTAGATTATGTCTGGACCTATTACATCTTCACCTTTTCTTCTAGTTCTTAGAAGTGCTGCCGAGGCTACGTTATCCCTACCAAGGTCTTCACCTGTCTGGAACTCCTGGGACATTTTAAATTGCAAATTGGCAATTGGGTTTCATCCATACCTTGTATATTTTGTTTTATTCCAGTGTTCAAATAGCTCCATATATAGGGAAGAGTTGATCTCTTAGATGCTTCATATTTATCCTTATAATAAACATGTTTGGATAATTAAGAATGGGAGATCAAAATAGGACACCTTTATTCTCTCAGGGCCAAATCTTGAGAGGTGCTAGAACCTGTGACTTCCTTTGACTTTAATGGAAAGATTCAGTGATCATTGTTTATTCTTATTATTGTTCCTTGGTAGGAGTTTTTCTGCTAATAATACAACTTCTTTCTTCTCTCTCTGAGTGAATCAGAACGTAGTATTAATGGCCTGATTTTCAAAAGAGCTTAGCATCCTAAATTGAGTGTCACGTCGGGAGCAGCTGGATGCTGGCCTCTTCTGAAAATCTTGCCCTAAACTACAAAGTCTTAGGACAGTCCTTCAGAAAAGAATATGAATCATAAAGCCATTGTAGAATCGTTTTACTGTCTATCAGGAAAATAAATGTCTCATTTCCAATAGGTCTTTAATCCAAATCTTTCAGTGAGTGAGTGGAATCTGACTGACATGGAAGCCAATTTTTCACCGGTAAGGGATGCGTATTTGTGTCTCTATGAAAACAATACTATAGATATGAAACAGCGTTTCTTGTGAACAGAGCTGGTACATTAGTGGAGAATGAATAATTGTTTTATGGGGAGGAGGAGGAGAATTTTCCAGTGGGTAAGCATTCACCAGGGATGAAACTGAGAGCACCAATACTCTTCACATGTGACCCAAACTAGACTTGGACCTCTATTTCCCACTCAAAAGAAATCTGAGCTTATTTGGAGGACTGGTTGGGATAATGAAAATGCAATGTGCTGGAATCTGAGTTGCCTTTTATATGGTCTTCAGTTGAAACCAGCTGCCCAAGTACCAGTCTTTGTGTTGACCCTTCACCCACTGTTAATTAACTTTTAGTTTGGAAAACTGATTTAATTACAACATATTCTAAAAGGAAGAAAAATAATATCTCAACTGCATATAGTGCCATGTGTGTGAAAGTGCTTCACAAAATATATGTGTGAAATGCAGCCCTCCCTGGGGTATAATAATGCCATTGTTTAAAAGCACACAGCCATGTAACACAACCATTTAGGAAAGAAAATGAAGAGTATATATACAGTTGAAACTGTGGGGGAATGTGATTAGGCAGGATGAGACTGGAATTTGACACTGGGGCTAATATCACTAAAGTAATATAACACACAGATGGGAATGTAACAGTCAGAGGATGTTAGGTTTCACTACTGGGGTTTCTTCTCCTAACTTGAGACCAAGGGCAGCATTTCAGAGCTACAATATCACCCTCCAGACAAGTTTTATCTGCAGAGTTGTAAGTCAGGTTGTTTTGTCTCCTCAGAGAGCCAGAGGGCAGGATTTCGCTCCTCTGTGTCAGTGCTGCTAAGGCGGCAATATTCCATCATCATAACATCAACGTCGTTGGCTGGCTTTTGTTTTTTCTTTCATAATTGGCCATTTTCTGAGGTAAATTTTTCCCCCTGGCTGTCAGGAGGGAAATAGAGCCTCTGGAGGCCCAGTTGGTAATGCAAAGGCTCAACAGGAGTGGGAGCTTGCTTTCAAAATGGAGGACTCTGTATAAGAGCAAAGGCCAACAGATACTCCTAGGTTGCTTCTTCCATTCAGCCAAATGCAGAAAAAGGCTGTGTACTTAGTAATTCAATCCTTCAGCTCAACAGGATTTTCCAGTACCTCAGGCAGCCTCCTAGGGTGACGCCCTGAGCGTACAAAAGAGCATATAGTCATATGACCAGCTTTATGGCCAGAGTGACAGTGCAAGCAAGTACAAAATCTAATCAAAGCACCTTCAACCACATAGAAGAGATCCGGGGATACATCAAACTCCCCGATCTACTGTTCTGTGGCTGCTGAGCAGTGAAGTCAGTAGGAGTTGACAGGGCATTATTCACCTCGCAGGATGGCTCCAAAAGAGAAGAAATTCAAAGTTAGGCCTCCAACAACTTTAACTCTTCTCTTGGCACCTTCCAGCCTTGCAACTTAGAAAATGTGAGAGGACTCTTGGAATTGTTTGTTTTTTTGTTTTTTTTTTAAGTTAGACATTTGAAAAACCTCCGTTTGATGGCATGTTGTATTTGGCTTTAGATAAGGACCCTTAGTTAGATGGTATAGTGTGATTAAGAGATGTTATCTTAGCAGCTGGCTCTATGAACCCAGCTAGTCATGCTTGGTTGCACAGGAATTTTAACCCCTCATTTTTCACCTTCCAAAGTTAGCCTGAAAAGAGTGGGATTGGGCAAGGTAATCCCACTTTCCCACCCCTATTGGCTGTAAGTAGCAATCACAGGTTGGCCCCATGTTCCACATGGAATGGAGAGGCAGAGGAGAGAGAAAGCAACCACAGGTAATTTTTTTATTTAAAGCTTCCTCAAGGACATCTCATATTTGGTGCTGGGTAGCTCTCCAGGTGCGGAAGCCAAATCTGAGATAACCTAAGGTTTACATAGACTGGAGCATGGCAATTTACTAACAATTCCTCTTGTGTTCATAATTTTGCTTATTAGAACAGAGGCCAGCCCAACAGACTAGGGGGACAGTGATGATAAATTCTATTACTGGTATAAATACTATGTGTTATCATTTGCTATATGAATAAAGCACTGATCTTCACAAACAGCCTAGTTCTAACCATCTCCCTGTCTTTGTATAATTGTACATTGTAGTTTGTATTTTTGCATCAAGATGCAGCAACTCACAGTGGATCTGGAGAAGAATGTAAATGAGCCGACTCCCAAAGCGTTAAATCCTCACTGTAACACCACCTGCTCAGGTACCAGCAATAGCTGTTCATGCAAACACAGGAATGGGAATTCAGTAATGAAACTAATGGTTAAGCATTTTTAATGGCTAGATGAAATGTCCAGTACTGATCCTTTAGAAGACCAGAGGCTTATTATAGTAGTGCAACTTTTGTGTTTCAGTTTAGTGATTATTACTCAATGATCTTTTTAAGAATAACTGTTTAAGATAGCTTCTATATGGAGCAGGCTGTATTGGAGATGTGCCAAGATTTAAATATGACCAACCTCTATCTATTCCTGCTAACAGGACAAGATAGAGAGACGAGATGGGTGAAGTAATATCTTTTATTGGACCAACTGAAGAAGAGCTCTGTGTAAGCTTCTCTATCTCACCAACAGAATTTGGTCCAATAAAAGATATTACCCATCTTGTCTCTCTAGTATCCTGGAACCAACAGGGCTACAATAACACTGCAAACATCTATGGTGTCTGTCAGAATCTAGCCAGTCTCCTTTTGATTGTTCATTGCCATCTAATTGCTATGTGGTGACCTAGGTGAAATGTTGATAGTCTCAATCTCCCTTGTCCTCTTGATCTACTAGAGATATGTCCCTATTTTTAAAATAAATACCACTCATTTAAACCCTTGTTAGCAGTCTCAGCAGAGAGGCCAACGTCTGAATGGGTATGGAAATTAAGTTCTGTTTTACCCCTGGAGCTGGTCTTTCCAGACTATGATTGAGTCACATTGGTTCAGCAGTGTCACGATGCTTGCATTACTGCTGTCTGTTCTGTACCATTTCTTTCTAGCATAGGACTTATCTGCCTGGGCAAGTATATTGATATAATTATACCAGTATAACCCCCTCATGTGGACACTCATATTCTGGAATTAGAGTGGCGTTTTTTTCAATTTAGTTTAAATTCCTTCCCTAATATCATAAGTTAAACCAAAGTAAAGGCACTCTTCGAACAGAATCGGTGTCCACATAGAGCGGCTATACCAGTATAACTATATTGGTTTAAATTCACACCTTATGTTATATTGAAAAATCTTCCCCGTGTAAACAAGGCCTTACGCTCTGTCTAGAGTAGAAAGAGGTTTTTAAAATGTGTTTAAAACACCACTTAGGACCTAGTGTAGACAGGGTTTTAAAAATGTATTAGTTGGTCAGCCAGGACCCCATGCTAGGTGACCAGTGGTGCGTGAAATATGTTAATTGAAATACGTTAGCTAGGACGTATTAAAACCGTATGTTCCCCTGCTCTAAACGGAGCCTTCTGGTTTTCTGGTAGTGTCCCCCACCATGTATCAAAGCGGTTGGGTATAGACCAATGACTTTAGTCTCAGCCAAGGAGCTTCCATGAGCAACAAATTCATTAAAAAACAGATGTATTGAAGACAGAATTCCTTGGCACTGTAGGTGATGTTGCATGAAACATGCATGTCTGTACTGGTAAGGCCTGGTGATTCTAGTCTCTTCTTTGCAAGGTCCTTATTGTACAGGTAGCAGTGTGAGGATAGTAGGGGTGAAATAAGGGAGAAATTGGAACTGGTGGGTGCCTCCAGCAGTGGAGGTGGAAAAAAGCTGAAAGCACATGTATAAGTGGTGGGGAGCAGCTGTTCTTACCCAGTCCTCAAAGGCCTCAGGCCATTTGCCTCTTTTTCCATTTCCTTATTCCCACACACCTCAGCTATTGAAGTATGATCCAAAGTCAGCTGAAGCCAATGGAAAGACTCCCACTGACTTTAATGGGCTTTTGGACTGTCCCAGTTCCAATCCTGAAAGTTTCCAAGCACTTCCGGCAAAGTCCTGAACTCCCTCAATTCCTATTGGAATTCAACACTTCCTAGGATCCAGCGCTTAGTTAATAAAGACCAATAGTTTGCCTGTCAGTAACCATGTTTTCCATTTTCTATCTGCATTCCTAGGGAAAGCTGTCATTCTTGAATGCACCCAGCAGTTTCCCATTGAGCGTGAAGCAGGCTTCGGGAGCAACATTGTAAACCTACCTGAAAGTTCAGCTCTTTATATTCCATCTGAAAATATGGCTTCCTATCTGTCCTCTCTGGGTCTCCAAGGAGATATCCCATTAAACCTGAACTCTCCAACTGAAAGTAACTAGTGATCTATTTAGCTTTACAAGACAATTGTGCCTTTTACTCCCTTACAAAACATCTACAGTTTTGAATGTAAAGAAACAACAGTGACTTAGAAACACACAAAAGAGTGGTTGCTTTTTTTTTTTTTTTTTTTGAATTGATGGAAAACTCAGCCACCATAACTGTTTGCACTGCCCAATGTTTTCCAGTGTTTACCCAAGACAAATTTTACAATGGGCAGTCTTCTTCCAAGCAACAAACTGCAATCATTGCTCACTCCCGTGGGGAGCAAGGGTTTGTTATTTCCTTTACTCACAAAAACAGTTAATTTTCTTAATTTTTTTATACTCTGTAAGAAAAGCGTCTAAGATTTTAACAGTAGAGTAAATGATAAAACTATGTCATGGACATTGAAAAATAAATCTGCACTGGCTAATGTAATATAAAGACAGATGCATGGATTCCAATGGAGCAGCAAAGAGCAGTGTGTATATGCATGGGGCCTTGTGAATGCCTAGGTACAGGAAATCAGTTCTGCAACTGGTCCACCCCCTAAAAGTGTTTTCTTTTTTACCCATTTCCTTCTTTTGGTTTGATGAGATATACTCGTATCTCTCCCTTATCCTCACAGTTTAAGCAGGATATCCTGAATTTGCACATCCCTCAGTTGATGTCAGTCTGTGCAGGAGATAGTACTTTTTCTGAAGGCCCATCCTAGATTGTGAAAGAAACTCCCATAGAAACTAAGGACCATCATAAACCATCTTCCGTTCCAAGTGCAAGATGCACTTCTTTGACCTGCCTTCTCCAACATCAGCACTGAGCAGCATGGACATTTAAATTTTTTTTTAAAAACCTACCAAATCACAACACTCCACTGCACACAGAATTCTCCCCCTGGGAAGAGGATGAGACAGAATGAACCAGATGTGACGGATGTTAGTCGCATCCCTTAATGCAATTCTGAGCACCTTCCAGATACTACTGTGATGAGGGCAGTATAATAACCTATATAGAATAGTAGATAAAATAGGACAAAGGGCTGGATATAATTTTGGTTTTCAGTGGCGTTTCAATACCTTGCATGCTTATCCAGTCTAATCTGCTGTGTGTTCGCATTGACCTGGAGGTTATTCTGAGTCCCCTGAATAAGATTTTGCTAGCCTGTTGCTTTATTCATATACGCAAATGAGAGGACCCAGATTTCTTTAATGGGATCCTGATTGAGTGAGACTTTCAGTGCAAATACCTGTTGGGTGGGAGGAGGGCTGAGAGGTACAGTGTACTCTGCCCACTAGCTTTTCTTCTATTCTTTGTGCAACCTAAACCAGCCTCCAAACCTTGAATCAACCTTCTCTTTCGTGTGGATTCTGAAGACTAAGTTTCTCAACAAAGCAGAGCTTTGTTTTTTATACTGTAGTTCTAGTGTTACACAAGGGATTTAGTATGGAGAATTGGAAATTTACTGTGTATCAGATATTTCAGAATTTTCTAAATAAGTTGCATTTCCCTAGAGGAATTACTGACCCAAATACCTAGTAATTCAGACCTAACTTAGGCCTTCAAGCTGAAACAGAAAGGAAAGGCATAAGCCATGCCAATGTCAAATGAAAGAAGAACCCTGCCTACTCTTACTGCCATGACGATTCATGGTACTGAACCATGTGTCTGAGCAATTTGAATGGTCAAGTGGAATCCATCCCAAAATATTTATTGAGATAAAGTATAACTGCTGTCAAATTCTCCTTAATGGGAAAAACACCCCAAATTTTAAATGGACTTCCCCTCAGAGCCATTTCCTCCATCGATTTATCAATAAATAAAGAGCTCAAGAGTTGAGAAACATTGTGCTGGTTAACAACATTTTGGCCATCTGACTTAATACTGTGGGTGCTACCATTGTGAGTTTCACTGAGTACCTCTATCCACTACCCCACAAGGTACAGTCCTTTAAGAAATGATGATGTAGCAGCATTTCCATAAATTCCATCCAGTATTTCTGTGCTTGTGACTCAGGGAAGCCCATGGCAGTCCCCACTGATTTGGTATTTAGAAAATATACCCAGTTGGACCAGGTATCCCTATATGATTCATTTATACTGAGAAGTAAAGATGGTTCTTTGATTATCTGTGTCTCATTTTCAGCAATGAACTGAGCTGAAATTTATTGAGTTGACTTTTATTCCGTTTACTTATTTTCTTTTATTAGAAAACTTAAAATTGACTGGAGGCTTGTTCCACCTGACAAACTTACGGTTCCTTATTCAAGGACTATTTAATCGCCTGGATCTTTACACACAACTTCCATTGAAATTGGTCTTTGTGTGTGTGGCAGTCTAAAGCCCTTATTCAGTGAAGTAATTAAGCACATGCTTGATTTAAACCACCTGAGTAATCCCAATGAAGTTGATGGGACTATCACATGCTTAAAGTTAGGCACGTGCTTAAGTACCTTTCTGAATCAGAATCCATTCGTGGTAGGAAAATGAACCATATTAGGATAGCTACTTGCAAATAGGAATAGACTAAACACAATCCAAAAGAATGAGCAATTCCAAACAAGCCCTTATATAAACAGTTAGATTCTAGCCTTCATACTGCCAAACATTATACTGCAACCACTGCCAGCTGCTACTCTGGGAAGAGTCCCTCTTTTTCTTTAGACCTCTTGTTCTATTCTAGGCATTAGATTGGAAATTCATGGTAGAAAGGAACCCCTAAGAACATTTTTCTGAAATCTCCCCTGCAAGAAAGTGTGACTGTATTTCCTGGCTTTTTACACTTTGTTAACTTTACTTGAAGTTGATGCATTGAGACTGCATTTTTGTACTATGCTGTACATTTGTAAAGTTTTACAGAGAACACTAATTAAATACATTTCCTTTTTCTCATTTAGTCCTGCTTTGGCATCTCTCCATTCCCCCTTCCCTCTTCATTTATAAGTGGTAATGAGTTTCTATTTCAAGGGGCTTGCGTGGGGGATAGGACCAACTGTACTGAAGTCTAATTGTTATTTTCCAAACAGACAATTGGCTCCACAAATCTTTAAATAATAAATAAATGAGAAAAGAATATTAACACAAAGCTAGTAAATCTGGACGAATTTTTCAAACTAAGACCCTTATCTTGAGAAGCCTTATACATGTGCTTAACTTTATGCACTGTGAATAAAAGTGAAAATCAGTGTCTAAATCTGTTTAGTTACTGAAAGAACGAAAAACAGCCACATTTAAACAGTTAAACACTTTTTTTTTGTGGAAACATTCCAGTTGCTTCAAAATTCTTCACTTTTCAAAAAATTTTGACAAAATCTTTTAGGGAATCATGTTACCTCTTTGTCATTTTTAGAGGGGGGGTTGTTTTTTGGTTCATTTATCATCAGTAGATTTTTGGTTTTTTGGGGGGGTGTTTTGTTTTGTTTTTTGCATTGATAATTTTGATTAGTCAGTTTAGTCACATGGTGGGATTTTTTTGTGCAGCAATATTTTTCTAAAAATTCTAATGTCTAATTAAACAATTTTATGCAAAATTCAACAAAAATGGACTGTTATAAAACATGATGAATTTTGCTGAAATTCACATGAATAACTTTTGTAGTTTTTAACCAGCTCTATGCCAGTAGGATTTTTTTAGACTAAATTTTTCTCATCTTCCCATTTTCTCTTCTATTTGATATTCACAGTCAACACCTTTTACTGTGATGGTGTGGAGGGAAGATGGGAAATAATACTTATTAGTAAAGGAATATCCCACTTGAAAAAAGGCCTACTGCCTGTTTGGAACATTAAAATATTGTAATTGTGAGGCTTGACCAATAGATGGCACACTATTTGGGGCTGTTGCTTTGCTTAGTCATAGAGTTTAAGGCCAGAAGGGACCACCAAATCATCCAATCTGACCTCTCATGTATCACAGGCCACCAACACCACCCAACACTCACATCCTAAATCCAACATTGAAAATTAGACCAACGTCCTTCATCCTCCCTGGTGTTTACTCCCTCCCTCCTCTCCCCCAATTTCTTTATAGAAAGTAATCATATCCTCTCTGTCTTCTTTTTGCTAGACTAAACAAGCCAAGCTCTTCTAGTCTCCTGTCATAAGATACGCACTCTATTCTCCTGATCATCCTAGTAACTCTTCTCTGCACCTAGTCCAGTTTGAATTCATGTTTCTTGAACACAGGTGCTCAGAACTGTACACAGTATTCCAGATGAGGTCTTGTACAATGGGATTAATACTTCCTCTCTCTCTAGTGGAAATGCCTTGCCTGATGCATCCTAGGATTGCCTTTTTTGCAGCCACATCACATTGGTGGTTCATGCCTCCTTATCATCCTGCAATCGACCAACATACCTAGTTCTTTCTCCTCCTCTGTCACTTACAACTGATGAGCCCCCAGCTTGTAGCAGAAATTCTTATTATTAGACCCTAAAAACCCTTATACTTTGTACTATTGAATTTCATTCCATTTCTTTTACTCCCATCTTCAAGATCATCCAGATCTTCCTGTACAATATTCAGATCCTCCTCTGTATTGACGATGCCTCCCAACTTTGTATCATCAGTAAATTTCATTAGCGCGCTCTTACTTTTTGTGCCAATGATATTAATAAAACTATTGAACAAGATTGGTCCCAGGACCAAGTCTTTAGGAACGCCTCTAGTAATCTCCCTCCAGTCTGATATTCACCTTTCAGCAAAACCTGTTGCCATCTCTCCTTTTGTAGTTCCTCATTCACCTTAGAATTCTTGTACTAAGCCCTATCTTATCTAATTTAACTAATAATTTCCCATGTGGTACTGTGTCAAATGCTTTACTGAAATCCAAGTATATCAGGTCTACCACATTTCCCTTATCTAAAGAAATCAGTTATTTTCTCAAAGAAGGAAATCAGGTTAGTCTGGCACAATCTACCTTTGATAAACCCATGTTGCATTACATCCCCTTTTCCATTTACCTCCATGAATTTAATTATTCTTTTCTTCATAATGTGTTCCAAAGTCTTGCATACTACTGAAGTTAGACTAACAGGTCTGTAATTGCCAAGATCCCCTTTTTTCCCCTTTTCTTAAATATAGGTATGATGTTAGCCATTCTTTGGTCATATGGTACTACACCCAAATACATCGATATATTAAAAGTCCTTGCTACTGGACTAGCAATCTCATGTGCCAGTTCTTTCAGTATTCTGAGATGGAAATTATCCATTCCCCCCGATTTCAGCATATTAAGCTCTTTGAGTTTACTTCCATCTCACGTGATAATTTCCATTATTATACATTCATTTCCATCAGCCATCCTGCCTTCATGCCCTTGTTCCATATTACCATTCTTACTGACAATCAAATCAAAGTATTCATTTCATTTTGGGGCCAGATTATATGCTGATCATATGCAGCTCTCCTTTCCAGCAGCCTCTCTTCACCCCAAAGTCATGTTACAATATAGATCTTTACTCTGACAATTATAGTACATAGTGAGTCCTCGATATATTTCTCAGTGACTTGGTATTGGTTCTGTTACTTTGGCCAGATGTCCCTCAGAGTTCAGACAATTGCTGCTTATTTTGATGGGAGGTGCATAAACTGCAGAAAACTAAGGGAAGTGTGGGAGTGATCATAAATAACCGACAGCTTAAGGAACAAGAAATGAACTGAGCATGCTCAGTGTACAGTGTCTATGGCTTAAAAGTCCAGGTTGGCTAGTATTTCACATTTAGTTTCAGGGTTACATCTTCACCAATTTCATATTCTGAAGGAATGCCTTATCCTTGTGCTACAGCGTGAGCGACAGTAACAAGTATTGCCCTGAATTAGCAAAACACTTATGCTCATATTTAATTTCAATCACATGCTTAAATCCATTCCTGTTTAGCAAGACAAAGTGGCTGAGGTAATATCTTTAATTAGACCAATTTCTCTTGGTGAGAGAGAGAGAAGCAAAGCGCTTAAGCACATCCTTAAATCAATGGGTCTTAAATACACTTTAAACGTGTTTAAGTCACGTAGACTTCGGTCTTTAAGTTAAATAATTCTTTCAGTGCTTTACTGAATACAAATGGACTTAAAGGTTTTGCTTTATTTGAGGCCTATATTGTTTGGATCCTCTGACCAAGAATGAATTTTATAGCGAAATAGAGTGGGAAACTATTTAATCCCAAATTTCTTTTGTGAAAATGCCACTGTGACTAGGTAAACAAACCCCACACCAGTAAGAAAGGGGTTCAGTAGCTGCTCTGGGCCCAAGCAGCCCAACCCTGCACACCTGCAAAGCATGCATGTCTTGGAGGAGCTCAAAAGAAGAACAGTCCAGCTCAGGAGGGTAACAGACAGTGGAGGTAAACTGACTTGCATTATGAGCTACTGAGAAGGAGCACCACAAGGGGCTTGTGCTGCCTGTGGCCAGGTTATAGTGATCTGACCTAGCCTACAAAAAATGGACCTGATATGTAGAAGTGATCAGCGAGGTAGCAGTATAGGACCCCAAGGTGCAGGATTTAGCTACCTATCATTGGGCCCTGGATTGGAGCTTGATGGAGAGGATGGGCCCAGGCTCCCCTACCAGACCCAAAGACGGACAATGATATAAGTCTATCCCTCGGTGGGGAACCTAACTGGGAGAAGACCCTGAAGTACAAGGGTTATGGACCACAAGACACCAGTCCAAGAAGGAATCCCTGAACCCTCACTGAATTCTGAAGCATTCCCTATTATCAGACTCTTTATATGTACCCCAAAAAGGGTGAACTTGAAAGTGTGACCTGGCCAGAGGGCTGAGTCACTGAAAGGACAGACCATGGTAAGGTGGAATTGTAATAAGAAAGGGGAACGCTCCAGAGGAAGACAACCTGCCACCCCCAACCTCACCCCTAGGTGGCACTAGCAGTGAGTGTTCCCCTTCACAGCCACAACACTACTTTGCATTTACAATTTACATGGCTTCCAATGATCATAATCCATGTTAAAAAACTTTAATTAGATAAGTATCATTAATGCCTTTGCTACAGATGGGGATTTGGAGGCAAAGACAGATACATTTTGAATGGTCTGAAACCCTTAAGCTCTAAAGTCACTTAGCCACACTTGAAAATTTTATCCTAGGTGCTTTGCCCAACAACATACAACAATCCAGACGAAGACTATAGGGAATAGAACCCGTGGGACCTAGCTCCAGGCCCCTCCTCTCTCTGTTCATGGAATCACACATCCTCTCTTTTTAAAGCTGTCATTGGTTTTATGGAAATTGGAGCAGAGATGTCAATGGAACATAAAACTCAAAAGGTATTATACAGAGCTTCGCCTCCCCCATTGGTTGGGCGAATAGATGGGTGTGGTTTGAGAGCGGCTGGGGAATGCAAAGGGTAACAAAAGCGTTCTTTTGGGGTGGAGCTTCCAAGTGTCTCGAGGGGGCACTGCCTGCATTAAAATGTTTATTGGATTTTTGATAATATGATCTCACTAATTTATTTGGGATCCTGTGTTGCTCCATTGATGTGAGGATGGGATGGTGATGAAATGACCCCCTATGCAGGCCAATAGAAGCAGGGTATACTGGTGTTTACTGTAAGGGGTTAATTGATACAGGGTCATCTGTGAGTATCGTTTAGCCTGCAGTTTTGGACAAATGGGGAAACTTCCCGAAGAAAGAGATTGGGCCCATCCACTTGTCAGTGAAAGAATGAAATGGGGGAGGTGGCCCCAGTACTTAGTCAGGCCTTGCAGAAAACTAGAATTGGAGAGATGAAGGTGGTCCAGGAAAGGTGGGTAGCTGGAGTTCGGAGTCTGGGTTTGGACTGTCTGAAACTTTAACAGTCTCTTTGCAGGTCTAGTTGGGTATCTGACTGTTGGAACTGAGGGTCAGCTATTTCATGTGAGTTTAATACAGTTAGGAAGGAGGATAGGTGCCATCCAGGAACAGAGGCCCTGGGGGTTCTGACAGGTGTGTTAGAGGAGATGCATCAGTGTGCAGGAGCCCAACTGACACAAAGTCAGAGGGTGATTTTATGGCAGTTGGTGTGAAATTATAGGGGGTATTCCACAAGGGGGCAGATGATTTGGGTCAAACCAGCCTAGTTAAGCATGAGATCAACACAGGTAATACCTGACCTATTAAGGAAGGCCCACATCATTTGCCTATGGTCCACTGAGAGGAAACTGAATGGAAGATTCATGAGATGGCGACTGCAGGAATTACTGAACCATCCAGAAGTCCTTGACTATCTATCCCCCATGGCGCTGGTGGGCAAGAAAGACAGCACAACACAGATCTGTGTCGATTACCCACATTTGAATGAGGTGACCCACAAGGACTCAGATCCAATGCCCCACATTGACGATATGCTGGAGACATGAGCAGAATCCAAATGGTTCTCTTCACTGGACCAACAGAGTGGATGCTGGCAAGGTGAGGGGGGAAAGTCACCCCATGTGAAGACCACCTTTACCAAGGGACAGGGCTTGTGGGAGTTGTCATGCTGTTTGGATGACATAATGCACCAGCTACATTTGAGCCGTTAATGGAGCAGGCCCTGGGCAACCCACTACTTTTCAGGTGTCCATGTACTTGGACGACATGCTGATCTGAACAGGAACTCTTGTACAGCACTGGAATGGGCAAGTAATGTATTAGAGCGGTTTCCAGGAGCAAACCTAAAGCTCAACCCTGCAATGTGCAAGCTGTGCTAAAGGGAAACGCTTTCTGGGACACGTTGTTAGTGAGGAATGGACCTCCACTGACCCAGGAAAAAGTGCCTGGAGTGGCAGGCAACTCCAGCATATCCGCCAGCTTCAAGGGTTCCTGGTGTTGTCCCTTACTACCAGAGGTTTCCTGGAGCTTCGCTGAGATAGCTGCCCCATTGCATAGACTAACAGAGAAGAGGTCACCATTCATATGGAGGGCCAGGCATTCCAAGAGCTGAAGTTGGCTTTGATCACTGTGCCAGTGTTGGGATATCCTCTGCCAGGTTACTTATTTGTGTTGGGTAGTAACTGAAGCTAGACTGGAACAGGAGCTGTGTTTTCCCAGGTGCACAGCAGATAAGAGGAGGTTGTTGTGGCCTGTTATAGTAAGACCTTCTAGAAACCGGAATGGAACCTGTGAGACCCACAGGTAGCTCCGGGCAGTAATCAGAGCTATTGAGCTATCACCCTTCTGTTTACAAGTTCATCTCAGATTTATGTATCTACTTTGGATTTATAGACACATCACAGAAAAAGGAGCGCCTTTCCCAAATTACAAGTATGGCCTGTTAAACAGCTTAGAAAGCCCAAACTACCACAACTGTTATCAAAATAATGAATACTGTTAGGAGGTAGCAAATCAGGATGAATCTGTCAAGGACAAAGGCCACCATATTCCACTCTGATTTGGCCTCCTCTTCTCTCTTACTCATGATCATGTGACGACGGATCATTAAGAGCTCCAGGAGCACCTTCTTCAGCAGTTTAATTTCCGCACTGTCATGTTCTTTTTGTAAGCACCTCCTGGTTTGTATGTCTGCTTCTTTTCCCACCACAGAAGTAGCTACAATCACAACCAGAAAAATAATTGTATGTTAAGATGTTGATGGGGGACAATTATTTCCAATATATTAGAGATGGTTTGGGAAATGTTGATTCTCTTCTGAAGAAGAAAGTGGTTCAGTGACTTGCCCTCAGCAGGACAGTGGCAGAGTAAGGACTGGACCCCAAGCCCAGGCCTGTGCTCTAACCATTAGTCTGCACAGCCACCAGTTGTTGTTGATGAACAAAATCAACTAATCAATTAATAACCTGCAGCGGGTTACTGGTGAATGAAATCTGCCTCCCATTTCAGAGCCTACCTACTGAAGTGAGTTCACTCATTTCATGCAAGTCACTTCTTACCTGGATCTCACTGTTTCTTTTCTAGACAAAATCAGCCGCCAGAGCTCACCAGATTGGATCTCTGGGCATGTTCTTTGTGAAAATATCGTACTGGTGCTAAAACCAATGTTGGTTGTTTAATCTGCTAGACTCTGCCGCCATCTAGGGGTTGGGAGAATTGTTCCTAGTAATGAGGGAAAGTAATGAGTAGCCCCCCCCCCTCCCCCCGCCCCCAGGCAGGAAACACACATTTCCCTCATTCAAAAAACATTATCTACAACTAACTGCAGTCCAGAGTCATCCTGGGAGGGGGAGAGTCCTGGTCAATGGCTGAGATGCACAAAGGAGCCTACGGGAGTTAGGTGCCCAGCTTGGCCCTGTTGGATTAACACCAGCGGATACCTTTGTTTGTGTTCCTGACTCCCGCAACATTGCTTTCACTAACTTCTCCTGTGTCAATGCGAAGTATGAAAGCCAAATGCTTCAGTACCCAGATCTTCAGCCACTGGGGCACATCCGGTCGCACTGCTGAGAGATGCAGCATGTAGGAGATAAAGATGGAATCGACAATGCTGATTATCATGATCACCAGGCACACAGCACAGAAAACACCTGGAAATAATCGCAATAGAATAAGCACATCTCCTTGATCATGAATGTCACCTACCCACAATGGCCCAGATCCACAAAGGCACTTAAGTGCCAAAGTCCCAGCCTTGGCTCCGTTGCGATTCACAAAACTCCCACCAAAGCCTGTAGGTGCCTAACTCACTTGGCACTTACGTTTTCAGGATAAAAGTTCACTCAGCACCTCTGGTTCTGCCTCTGAGCTTGTGCACTGCTGCCTCCCTCTAGGCATCCAGATGCCTATCTCCCAGCAAAGCCCCAGAGCAATCCATGAGCCAGTTAAAGACGGGAGCTTCTCCTCTGCCTAACATGCATGTGGGGCCTGAGCCAGTAGGTGTTCAGAGAGTGCATACCAGATCAGGTCCTATTTAAAATCCAAGGGGAGGGGGGAGAAGAGGAGCAGCCCACCTTATAACTTTTATCCTAGTGGTTAGAGCACTCACCGGGGATGTGCAAGACCCAGGTTCAATCCCCCACCCTTTTAAGGGGGAGAAAGGGTCTGAACAGTGAGGTCTCTCACCTCTTTGAGTGCTCTAATCACTGAGCTATGGAGTCACTTACTCTCTCTGTCTTTCTAGCCCAGTGACTGTTTAAGTAGGTATGCACAGTGCAACAGTCATTGGGCCAGAGAGAGAGAGAGTGAATGTGTGGGGGAATGACTCTGTAGTCTAGGGGTAAGGGCACCCACTTGGGAGATGGGAGAGCCCAGGTCCAGACCCCTGCTCCAATCATGCCTTCATTATTTAATAATTTAGCCACAGTGGAGCAGCTGCAGCAGAGAGATGGCGGGCGTCCCACCTCAGAATATCCCATAGTTCACTGGTTAGAGCATACTCCTGAGAGTTGAGACCCCTGTTCAAATCCTCTCTCCACTTTTGGCAAAGAGGAGGGATTGAACCTGGGTCTCCCACATCCCAAGTGAGTGCACTAACCACTGGGCTAAAAGTTGTCATGTTCATCAGCCTCATCTCCTCCGCCTCTGACCACTTTGGGTGGCGCAAGGCAGGTGCCTAACTCATTCCTGCAAGAAACTCCTTAGGCGCCTAAGCTGTCTGGCTCCAGGAAGCTGCTTCCTGAGCAGAGCTAGGCACCTAAAACTGGGCTGCAGGAAGGTGTGGATCTCTGAGAGAAGGTGGGGCTTCGCACACACTCCTGTTGTCACCATCTCCCATTGGCTGGCTTAGGTGGCTCTGCCTCTAGCGTGTTGGCTTTTGAGAACTGCGCACTTCGGTGCCTATCTCTCTCCATTCACTGCATCAGGAGCCTCAACTGTGTGGACTGTAGTGCTGTTCCGGTGATTTTTCTAGGCACCTGAAGGTTAGGCCCTGCGACGCTCAGTGTTGCAACCTCCCTTCTTGGATCCCACCCAATGTATCTGTGTATCTTAGAGTTTTGTATAGTGGCCATCAAAAGTACTGAACGGTAAACTAGATCTGCACTGCAAGATCCCTAGGGCACTTCATGACGTCTTTTGCGGGGGCCAGTTTATAGGACAGTGGACTGGGATTCCAGAAACCTGAATTCAAATCCCATCTTTGGCACCAAGCTACTGTGTGACCTTAGACAAATCATGTCTCCGCTCTGTGCCTCTGTGGCCCCCGCCCTCCCTCTTTGCCTGGTTTGAGATTGTAAACTTCTGGGTTCAGGGGCTGTTTCTTACAATGTGTTTGTACAGTTGCATAGTCTAATAGGGGCCTGAGCTTTAGGTGCTATTTCAGTATGAATAACCACAATAGTAATGACAGACTGTGCAGCTCTTACCCAAGATTGGCGTGACTTCTGAATTGGGAAGCAAATCGTTCAATATCAGCAAGAGCACAGAGAATCCCAGAACAACTGTTATTTTAAACCCCAGCCGCTCGCCTCCTTCCATCGGTATGAACATGCTGGCAACATCCACAAGCACCAGGAAACCGGCAGGGACTATGAGATTGATGACATAGAGGATGGGTACCCTCCGTATGGTTATCTGTTAAAGAGCAGCACTTGTGAGTAGTGCACTAAAACGTTCCACCTCACTATTCTAACAGAAAGATGGACACATTCTACCTGAATGGGACTTTGCTTGGGTCTCTCGTTGTTGTTGTTGTTTATTTATTTAGCCCCAGAAATGTACCATTTTTACCTTGTGCTTTAGAAGGCAAATAAGTCAGGATTCCTGCCCTGGAGAATGTACTATCTAATAGACAAAAACAAACCACAAAGGAACATTTCAGCACAAGAAGCTGTGGAGATGATGTTGTGAGGACATCGGTTTAGGAAGGATTCCTGGGCAAAGTGAGTATAAAGGAGTGTCTGAAGGAGAAGAGAAAGGGGGAAGAAAGGAGGTGCAATGTTATTCCCAGAGTGAGGCGCAGCAACACGGTAGGCCCAAAGCTGAGAGCAGAAGCAGGCGATGAAGTAAGCAAAAAGGGAGGAAGACTATACCGCACTGAAAACAGAGATGTAGGTTAAACCAGAGGGAGACAATAATACGAGGCCTTGAAGGAAAGAGTGAGTGGCTCATACTTGATGCAGTGAAAGACAGGCAGTCAATTAAAGGGAACCAATGATCATTGCTGTGACTGGAGAAGTGAAAGAGACTGGAAACGTCAAGCAGAGACTGGAGATGGTGAGGCAAGAGGTGGAAGGCCAGGGATTAGGTGCCTGGAATAGTCAAGATCAGAGGTGGGCAAACTACAGCCTGCGAGCCATTTTAAGCCAGCCAGCAAGCTCCCTCTGGGGAGCCAGGTCGGGGGCCACATCACGCGGCTCCGCCCCGCTCCAGCGCGACATGGCCCCACTCCGAGGGTCAGTGGCTGCTCCATTCGTAGGAGCCGAAGAAGGGACATGCCACTGCTTCCAGGAGCCGCTTGAGGTAAGCACTGCTCGGAGCCTGCACCCTTGAGCCTCTCCCCATGCTCCAACCCTCTGCCCCAGCCCGGATCCCCCTCCCGCTCTCCAAACCCCTCGATCCCAGCACAGAGCACTCTCCTACACCCTGAACTCCTCATCCCCAGCCCCACCCCAGAGCCCGCACCCCCTCCCGCACCCAAAACCCCAATTTTGTGAGCATTCATGGCCCGCCATACAATTTCTATTCCTCGATGTGGCCCTCAGGCCAAAAGGTTTACCCACCCCCTGGTCAAGATGAAGGATGATCAAGGCTGGACAAGGGATTTGGCAAAAATATTTTTTGGGTGACAATTTTGAAAAAACTTTATTTATAAAATGGTGTGTATCATCGTGGTGGGACTTTAAGGCCAAACAGTCCTATTCTTGCATCAAGCCAGCAAGTTATAAAAAATCTATTGCAATAAGGTGTATTCTAACATCAACGAGCCAAGAAAGGAAATACCACATGATATAAGGAAATCTGTGTAGTTTCCTTTACACAGCTTTGTGTTCCAAAGTGATTGTGATACACAGATTTCCCCTAGCTCCTCCCTCTATAAGAAGAAAGTCAAGTGGAAAGGCTAGATTAGGAGTAGGATGGATTTTGAGTAGACTAGTGCTGGATAGACAACAGTTGTGCTAACTGGATTATTAAATATATATTATAATCTGGGATCAAATTCCCTAGCTATAGGCTACATGTGCGGTGTGTGTTGTTTCCAGTCCTACCTGATATGTGACTTGACTCCATTCTTTCTCCTCAGTGGATACGTTATTGCTCAGAACATCCACTTTCCCGAGGAGCCATTCGCTTTTCGCATAATTCTCCTGGGAAGCTTGTGTAACTGCAGAGGAGTTGGACTTGGGCACCACCACTATGTCCTGAACTATTTTAAGTTAGAAAGGAGAATGATACGGGTTAATCCATTCCCAGGGAATATGATTCATTTCTGCTTTGATGCATTTGGAAGGGCTCCTTCCCATGACAAAAACCATTACAGGCATGTGCTCAGTGATCACCTAGGTGTGTGAGTTAAAATCTCATCGCACATTCCTGCAGGCATATTCCACGGGGATCGTGATGGGCAGGTGTCCAAGATGGCACGTTCAGTCAATGAGTGGAGGGCTCGATCACCCAGCAGTCACTCCTCCAATAGCCTTACAGCATTGGCACCCTCCTGCTCTCTCACAGGCAGCATGGCATTGCGAGATTAAAGGACAGATAGGGCCAGAGTCACAGGGCCGTGCTGGACAAGGAGGAGCAGCACTGCCAGGGGGAGCTCCAGTTGGGATCCCAGAGTTCCCCAGCATGAAGGAGACGTTGGAACACTTAGGACAGTACAGTACGATGGTCCCAGTGTCTGCCTGTTGATGGGGAGGGGAATGGCTCCTCCCCTCCATCTTTGAGGGCCCTTCACCCCTGAAGGGTGCCAGGAAGGAGAAGTCCCTATGCTTTCTTCAGTGTGGCCAGCAGTTGTGCCTGGCACTCACACAGGAGCCCATTGCACCTTTTCCCCCACACACGTTCATGCAAGGATTGGACACCATCTGGCCCTAAACCATTAGCAGAAGAATGGGAAGGTGGCAATTAAGGAGCTGAGCGAGACTGAAAGCTGACTCATGCAGAACATTTTATCAGGCTGCGTGTGTATCTCAATGGAAGCCCCACACCTATTGAGTCAGCCCATCATGAATGCCCAGTTTGGGCAAAGCACTTCTGTGTCTTCAAGAAGAGCATCCTCTGGGTTGGTTCGGAGGGGACTGAACAAAATCCTCACCCCTTTTAGGAATTGTCTACAACTTCTCCAGGGAGCTATCTATAAGTGCTCTATGACAGTCAGATTTCTGCTAAATAGTCTCCAAGGGTGACAACTTTGTTCACCAGCCCTTCCCATATTACTGATGCTAAATGGAGCCCCCAGCATCCTGCACCAACCCTGCACGTACCTGTATGCACATAGGGACCAAAGGTCAGATTGCACTTCTGGGTGTCAAATGGAAACTTGTAGATATCCAAGCTGCAAGTGCTCACTATCCTGATTGGTTTCCATTGGTTGATGGTGCCATCACTGGAGAGGGACATGAAAGGAACTGTGGGGGATTGAGGATCTTCAGTCCTAAAGAAGGAAAAAATGCATTGGAAATATCAACACTGGCTCCTTGAAGCGCGTAGAGGTCTTTGTCAATGCACTGCCAATGGAGACAGAGAGGTGGGAAGGAATAGATCATTGGGCTTCTAGACTGTTAACACAGCCTTTGGTTCATGCATATGTAATAATGATGGGTGTTTAGACACTTCCTTGACTCATATCAAATAATCGATTTTGCTGCCTAAAATGATAGCAACTAGCAACTGAAGGAAGAGGAGAAAAGATGAATTTGTTGTGTTCTGTTAGATAATGCACTGCAGTAAGTTGCAGTATGTAATGCTGGTTGAGAAGAGCAATGCCTTGCAGTTTATTTTTGTGTAGTTTCATTCATACAAAAGCTGACGAGAGTCCCAATAAATTACTGCATGTTACTCACACACATAATTCACCAGCCATTCACAGCCTCATCCCCAATTTTGACACTGAAAGAAAGGGGACCCCACTCCTCAACTTAATACTGAGAATTTACATTTCAGAGACGAAGAGGTCAGGCTTCCATACAGAGTCCACAGGGATGGAGATCTTAGAGATTCCACAGAAGTTTTGGGGATCCCAAGTGAGGAACTGATTTTTCCAGCTCTGAAAAAAGAAATGGATTGTTAGGGGAAGATTCACATTTAGTGGGTGTGATAAAGTGACATGGTAAATTAAGAACATGATCCTCACCATTTGGAATCTCACTAGAGACGTAAGGATTTGTAACTTCTCATCCTAGAGGAAGAGAAAGAACTGAGTTCATATCTATTGTGTCTCTAATAAAGATGCAGAAAATTTCCTGCTAGACTGCTAGACTGCTAGATGCAGTAATGACTGCTAGATACAGGTTAGTGAGACCTAAAAGGAAGTTGAGATACCAGCAGCTAATGGGAGTGGCTGAGTGGTGTTAGAGAAAAAGTTATGAGTGTTCACACAGGCTGGTGAAAAGAAGGAAGAAGGATCTGTTGCATAGAGAAATTAAGGCCGCTGCTGCACTTGGGAATAGCACTGGTGCAGTATCAGTGGCCAACAAGCAGTGTAGCTGCATCAGTGCAAGTCCCTGAGTTGAGGCAAGAAGATGCAGGAATTTTCACCCAGGCACTGGTAGAGTCCCTCACCAAGTCCAGGGTGGCATGTAAGGTGACATCAATTCTGACGATAGAGGGCTCTCTCCAGTCAGTCACTGGGCGCACGCTCATCAGGCGAGGATTAGCATCTGCAATACTCAGGTTGCTCATCACATCCCAATAACTGCATGTCTCCTGGCTGGCTGTCAGACCTGTTCCCAAAGAAACAGAGAGGGGCCTTTCAGTGCTACTAGTGAGGGTAGCTGGGCTCTCATCCTGGAGCTCTCAAATGGACTGCATGCATCTAGGACTAGGTCTTCTCTCATTGGTTTAGAAGTTGTGGGTAAATTTAGTGCTGTTGATGGTCCTGGTTTGAGAGCCTTGAAAACTAACATCCTCTCCCTGTGCGTAGGCCAAGTAATTCACAATGCAGCACAGGGAGCAGTAGGGCAAACGCCATCACATCTCCCCTGCAGTGGGACTCAGCCCCAACTCCTGAGAGGGAGTGAGGATAATTCACTCCCCATTCCCAACTCCATGCTTGGCCTCTCTACTTAGACTGTTAACAAGGGTACTGACTCGCACCAGCTGTGATGGGGAGTTTTGTGGCAAAGACACTTGCCCCAGGAGGAACCTATATTCATAGTTTGCACTTATACGGCATTTCCATCTTCAAATCACTTTGCCACCACTAACTGCTGCAATAAATCCTTGCAGCTCCCCTGGACTGAGATCACCAGCTCATTTCATATAAGGCACCCAACAGCCTTCAGCTGGTAATAACCCAGCACTGGAGCATTCCGTATTACCAGCAAAATGGGCAATCAAATGGATGCACTTGCAAAATACCCTCTGAAAGAAGCATAATTATAATTATTTACAACACTTCAATCATTCCTAACCCTGCAAAATCTTCATCCTAGCCTTATTCTCCAAAGGTAAGATATCTCCTTGCTTTACCTATTTATTTATGTACATATGTATTAAGTTAATATTTCTTATATATGGGGCTACAATGGATCAAAAAAGAAAAACATAGCAATTGTATTTCCTGAAGAATGCTAGTCATTATTTAGCCTGTGTGATGGGGTGTACCAGGCCCTTTGAGGGCCCTTGCTAGAGGCCTTGTGGTCCTATTGCACCCCACCCCAGAAAAGGAGCATTGAAGGTGGGTCCTCCAGGCCTGCCGAGAAAGGCTGCAGGGAAGTGGCCACTCAGAGTGCAGCAGGCTCAGTTAAAAGCAGCTGCAGAGCTTGAGTACATGAGTTGCTGGCTGGAACCAGAAGGGTGAGGAAGGGCTGGAAAACAGAGACACTCTCCAGGCAAGGAGACCTGGGAGAGACCCTGATCGACCAGGGATTAGATAGAGAGAACCCAAGGACTGTAACCCTAAGGTAACTGGTGAAAGTGACGGGACTGAGTGGGAAACAGCCCAGGGAGAATAGCAGCAGCAACTATTAAGGGAAGCAGTACATGGCTGCTGTTCTAGGGTCCCTGGGTTGGGACCTGGAATAGTGGGTGGGCTGAGTTCCCCTACTGGCCACGGAGAAAGTGACCTAAGTCCCAAAAGGGGACAAGACTCTCTACTGAAAGCCTGAGAAAGGGGCTGGAGTTTAAACAGGCCCAGAATTGGGGCCAAAGACCCTGTTGAGGGCCAACCATATGTTGAACTTTGTTACCCCAGAAGGGGTCATCCAGTCACCTATTAACCAGGTGACTTAGATGGAGGGCTAAACCAATGAAGTCCCACCCTGCAAGGGCAACAGCCAACAGGGAGCACTGGGAACAGAGAAGAGTGCAGGTTTGCATCCAGCTGACAAGTGGCGCTCATGGAAGTGACTATCCTCCATCACCGGCCCCAATTAGAACTTGACAGAAAATAATATTGTAAATAACAGAACAATCTAACCCTTGATCTCCCTCCTAATCAACCTAGAGTTGCATTTGATCTGCATTCATGAATCAACAGTGGTTAATGTGAAATTTTCATCCATTCTTTGAAACTGGATGCAAATGCTTTGCTCTGTTTGGATATCCACAAGCTTTTGGGGGCTGTCCTTTGTCGCTGTGTTTTGAGTTTGAGCCATGTTCAGTAGAACAAGCCACAGGATGGAAGTCAAGGCTCCCTACCGAACATCAACCCATAAATAACACTTCCCACGATGGCTGCTATTCTACTTCTGATATTGATCCAAACTAAACAGTTTCACACAGAGAACGTAACAAAATGTGTCAACTTCAAGCTGAACCATTTAAGCAAACGCAGCAGGAACAAACACATGCAAACCAGATCCAAGAAAAATTATCCCAGACCTGTTCTGAACTGGGCTGACACTGCTGACATAATCCCCTTCTGGAGAAGGGCTGCCCCTGTCTATGTCAAAATTTACGCCTTTCCCTCTGACTGTTTTCATAAATGTATGATAACAGGAGCATGAAAAGAGACAGGCCTTTATTCATTCTGGTTTCTAAGGCTTTGTGCTCAATTTCAAATGAAGGTTTAAGTCCAAGACTTACCTAATGCCACGTAATTGACCAGTATAAATATAAGCCATCTTGTCATACTTGTTGCATGGACTGTAGGCACTAAGTGCCTGATCAGCTCCTGTACTGATCTAACACTGGATTTTTTTTTTGCTGTCTTCCTGAGACCTGTCTACTTAAAGGGAGTGGCAGGTTTCCATTAAGTCCCCATCACACAGGAAAGGAACAGAACAATATCACCAGAGTTGTTCAACCTGTTCCCAGCCCTCAGGGCAGACTTCGCTCCAACTTGACCTTATATATTTTATACCGTGAGGGCTCAACCCTCCCTGTGGTATGCAAGGGTGGGGAGAAGCATCCAGCAGGCACAATGCCTCCTGAACTCTTAGCGAGTTCAAGTTAGCAGGTCCCAGTGGCAATTTGCTAATTTAGGGAGGTGGAATGTGGACTAAGAACAGTTCTATGGGATCTGTAATTGCCATGACTTGCTCTCTTTGACCATGACTGACATCTGAGCCAAGGGATAGCAGTGCCCCCAACACCAGGCTGCTCCAGTACCGGTTCACAAGGAACAAGGCCATGTGCTGAATTACCAAGTCCATTTTCTGCAGCTACTGGGTTTTCCCGGGAGGTCCTCCATCCAAATAATGACCAGGCCTCACCCATATTAGCATGTGGGGGGTTGTGACGTTGTGCAGTCTATATGGTTTTATAAAAACTTGATAATAAGTCAATATAATGTAACTGGGATAGTTTTAGAGAAAATACAGTAATAAATGAATATAACGTAACTGGGATATGCTTCATGCAAAAGGTCTCTTGTAAGGTATCATTACAAAGCTTATAATCTACTGAGTGTGATCATCTGATTTGTATAAATGTACCACTCTTGTATCTAAAACTAGAAATATAAAATGTAACTCTGAGGGCCTATTGTAATTATGTAAAGTGTGGGCCATTAATGATGGTTTGGAATCTTGATGACTCCCATTAACAAGGACCATTGTCTGCAGATGGTTGTGTTTACCTGTTAGTCTTCCTGTATATGTGTGTGCTGGCAAGTGGGCAATGAAGTCTTGCAGTGACATGTGATCATGTCACCTGAACTGGAATCCATCTTTAACCTGGTGCTTTTCCAGGGAGGGGGGGCGGAAACCCAGAGGGACAAAGGGTTCCCGCCTTATGCAAAAGATATATAAAGGGGTGGAAGAGAACAAAGAAGGGAGAGAAGCCATCATGAAGAATCCCCTAGCTACCACCTGAGCTGGAACAAGAGCTGTACCAGGGGAAAGAATTGTGCCCAGGCCTGGAAGGTGTCCAGTCTGAGAAAAACTTACTGAAGCATCTCTGAGGGTGAGATTATCTGTATTTAGTTTGATTAGACATAGATTTGCACATTTTATTTTATTTTGCTTGGTGACTTACTTTGTTCTGTCTGTTACTACTTGGAACCACTTAAATCCTACTGTCTGTATTTAATAAAATCACTTTTTATTTAGTAATTTACTCAGAGTATGTATTAATATCTGAGGGAGCAAACAACTGTGCATATCTCTCTATCAGTGTTATAGAAGGCGAACAATTTATGAGTTTGCCCTGCATAAGTTTTATGCAGGGTAAAATGGATTTATTTGGGTTTAGACCCCATTGGGAGTTGGGCATCTGAGTGCTAAAGACAAGCACACTACTGTGAGCTGTTTTCAGGTAAACTTGCAGCTTTGGGACAAGTGATTCAGACCCTGGGTCTGTGTTAGAGCAGACTGGAGTGTCTGGCTCAGCAAGACAGGGTGCTGGAGTCCTGAGCTGGCAGGGAAAACAGGAGCAGAAGTAGTCTTGGTACATTGGGTGGCAGCTCCCAAGAGGGTTTCTGTGATCCAACCCGTCACAGTTTTCTAAAGGTTTTATTCATAAAAGGAAAAAGATAGAGATGAGAGCTAGAATTGGTTAAATGGAATCAATTACATACAGTAATGGCAAAGTTCTTGGTTCAGGCTTGCAGCAGCGATAGAATAAACTGCAGGTTCAAATCAAGTCTCTGGAATACATCCCCCGCTGGGATGGGTCCTCAGTCCTTTGTTCAAAGGTTCAGCTTGTAGCAAAGTTCCTCCAGAGGTATGAAGCAGGATTGAAGACCAGATGGAGATGAGGAATCAGCCTTATATAGTCTTTTCCAGGTGTAAGAACACCTCTTTGTTCTTACTGTGGAAAATTACAGCAAAATGGAGTCTGGAGTCACATGGGCAAGTTCCTGCATACTTTGCTGAATCTCAAGGCATATTTGCCTTCTCTCAATGGGTCCATTGTATAGCTGATGGTCCTTAATGGGCCATCAAGCAGGCTAGGCAGAGCTAACACCAGTTTGTCTGGGATGTCACCCAGCAGCATAGCATAAGTTTGAAATACAGACAGTATAGAGCCAATATTCATAACTTCAACTACAAAATTGATACACACATATAGACAGCCTAATCATAACCAGTAAACCATAACCTTGTCTTAGACACCCCATTTGACCCCCTTTATATAAGATTTGCGTGCCACTACAGGACCTTGGTTGCAACAATGATCTATATGGTCCCAGATTATATCAATAACGTCACAGGTGTATAGCTTCAAGACAAAACTCCACAGGCTTAAAACTATTCCTGTCTCTCAATCTGTTGTCATCTCACCTGGGGCACAGTGGA